CAAAACAGACAAAGCGTCGATATACATGTCCCATTTCAGAGAATTGTCTAAAACAAGCCCTAAGAATTTTACAGATTTTACGACGTCATTGGTGGTGTTGTTAAGTACAAAAGGCTGCAGCGAGTTTTTATACGACAAAGCTTTAGTTTTAGAAATGTTGAGACTCAGGAGGTTTGAATCGCACCAAGATTTAATGGTGATTAAGTCATTTGATATAATCCTCTAAAATGCCGTGACGTCCTTGTTGCTCCAAGTGAAGCTAGTGTCGTCCGCAAAAAGACATCTTTTACCACTGATGTTTATGTTAGCAATGTCGTTAATAAAAAGAAGAAACAAAATAGGGCCTAGCACTGAGCCTTGTGATACTCCACATTTTATTGGCTTGCTAGAAGACAACGTTGTATCCACCCTCACAAGTTGACTTCTGTTGCTCAAATACTTCGATAGATGTTCCCCTGAACCCATAGTGCTGCAGTTTACTTTTTTTGTGTAGCCTCACCTTCTTATATACTCACGAACCGCCACTGCTCAGAAGGTATATTGTACTAGAAAACTCAACCTGCAGGTAATGTATCACGATTGCAAAAGGCTAAACGTCAAATATCCGAATATATTGGTCCCGGACTGTTTATACACGATACGGAGACACTGCGCTGACCATTGGCTGACCCCGGCCTGTGGCCCGTCGCTTCGCGGCCAATTTATGGACGCCGGGCAGACACGGATAAAACGATTATACCGGCCACTCTTCGGACGACCAGTATATTATTATAATCCAGCTCGCGGCCCCTAAATCACGGAGCATTTAAATATAATCGCGCGCGGCGTAGCGCCCTCTACTGGAACAGTTAATAATTTGCGGTTTATTGGGTTTTTAATCTTTTCCGCAATTGATACGCGGCGGGGCTTGTAACGGGATTGGAGCTTAAAAAGAGCTTTTGAAAAAGGACATTTTGGTCCAGATATACAGGGTGGTCCGAACTGTATTCCGAGAACTTCGGCAGCATATTCTGCAGATAAAAATAAGTAAAAAAGTTCGTATAAATGTATGTTCTAAAATGCTTAGTTTCGGAGATACAGGGTGTAGAAGTTTCATTTTTATTTCGATCTTTTCCAAATAATTTATGAAGTTACGTCAATATTTTGATGAAAATTGGTGTCTGGGAGTTTTTTGACGTGATAAATTTGATTTTGATGTCAATATCACTCCTATTTGCAGAGGCCGCCACATACATATTTTTTAACTGGTTTAAAGAGTAATAACATTTCGACCGTACCTGTATAAAACTACCGAGTAAAAAATAAACATTTACGACATTTTTTATGTAAAAAATATCTCTTGGTAAAAATCGCTACGAATAATATGGTTCTCGAGATATTTGGAATCGAAATTATCAATACCTATCATCATTGACATAAATTAAACATATTAACTAAATAGTTATTAGACTGAAATCATAAATTTGAAATGATTTTGTGCCAAAAGTTTAACAAAAATCAACATTTTTTCGCAGAAAATGTTATGATTAATTTAAAAATATAAAATTTTCCCAAATTTATAATTTCAGTCAAATAACTATTTACTCAACGTGTTTATTTTTTGTCAATAACGAAATGTATTTACAATAATTTCATTCTAAATATGTTGAGAACAGTTGCTCATAGCGAATTTACCAAGAAACATTTTTTACGTAAAAAGTCACGGAAATGTACATATATTTTTCACTCAGTAGTTTTATACAGGTATGGACGAGAAAAGTTATTACTCTTCAAAACAGTTAAAACACATGTAGGTGGCGCTCCCTACAAATAGGAGTCATACTGACATCAAAATCAAATTTCTCATGTCAAAAAACTCCCAGACCCCAATTTTCATCCAAATATTGCAGTTACTTTAGAAATTATTTAGAAAAAATCGAAATAAAAATTAAATTTCTACAACCTGTATCTTCAGAACTAAGCATTTTAGGACATATCGTCGGCTTTATAACGAAAAGGCGTATCGAATTCTCGAAGAATCTCGATTTTTGCTACTTTTCAGGAGAGCAATTTAAAGAAAATCGCTTACTTTATTTGGCCAATAAAAAATGTAAAGTCTTTAATTTTTTAATATTGTTTTTGTATTAACACTTAAACGGAAACCTTGAGGAAACGTTCTAAAGATAAATTGAGCGTAAATTCTAATAAATAATTTATTTTTAATTGTTTACTAGAGATAGGCCTTTTTGTTTTAATATAATAAATTTATTACCGACCGAATAGTATACATACGCCTATGTAAAATAAATTTAAAAATGATCTTAATAAGATAGATACATACAAGAAAAAAACTAAAAATCACCAAGTGACAGTTGAATTAATTTCTCAGTTACTATTGTTACGGATTCCGTGGGTCCACTAATTTAAACTCACTATAAAATACTTAACTAATTTATTTTTCACTTAATTTACACACAATTAATACTAATATAATACACAATTAACTACTTATAAAATTCCTTCGCCAAATTGTCCGATTCACAATTTTAAACGCGGTATTATCAAATTCAAAAACTGGTCCAACTGCCAAGCGCGGGCCTTTATATACCCCTACTGACTGTTTCTCGAACCTACTGTAATTTTCGATACTTTTCCGCCATCTACCAGTAAATTCTATTGTCTAATTGGCTTACTTGTCGACTTGATTAAGAGATGGCGCCTAAAAATGTCTTTTACTTTTTGGTGAATTCGCCATGTTTCTTGACACGTTGCGACAATGTAGGCCACCAGCAATACAGTTTAGCGCCACAAACACTTTGACACGACTATATTGAATATTTTAGTTTCTACGATGCTACAGCTCTACTTAACCAACGCATGTTCGAATGTATCCGTTTCTATACCGGGTGCGTCTCAAAAGTGGCTCACCCCCTATAACTTTTTTATTTTTTCAGATAAAACAACGAGATTTGGTATATTAATATATGACATAAATTGGGATTGATTGACGTATTCAATTGTTTTCGGTCACTTCCGGTTTCACCGGAAATAACTACAACTTTTGATTTTTAAGTGGCACCCTCGGTATTTTTTTACTTTATTCGATAGAAAATGACACTCTAAATCGAATGACATATCTTATGTCAATTTTTGACATAGGCACTCAAAAACAAATTGTATTTAAAATTTCAATCTAGAGTGCCATGGCTGTGTTAAAAACACTAATTTTTAATCAAGGAGCGTTAGAAAAATAGATTTGATCGTCTAATGTTTTTAGTGTCTTGTTCTGGTCGGTTAAAAGATGCCCAAATCGTATTTTTAATCATATCTCAATTTTTTCAAATGGAACGAGGTTGGCTCATTAGCATATTTTGAAAAAGCAGTTTTTTACGAATAATTTGATACCACACACTTGGTATTTTGAGCCAAATTGTCGTTATGAACCGCATGTTATTATTTCAAATTGCTGTCCTCCATTCGCGAACTTCGAGTTCCGGGTTTTACGCCCTGGAGCTACTCGAGAACGGTTCTGAAAGGAGCTGTGCGCGATAGCCTCGTGCCGCCATATGGCGCAGAACAGTTCTGAAACTTTATGACTCAATTGAATGGAGTGAGAGTATCGCGTTCTTGAACAGTCCAGAGCTGCTCAACTGCGTGAATGAAGACAGCAAATAAACCATATGCCAAAATGTCACAAGTTGATGTGTCATTTGATTCAGAGTACCACTTTCTATCGAATAAAGTCAAAAATACCGAGGGTGTCATTTAAAAATCAAAAGTTGTAGCGGAAGTGACCGAAAACAATTGAATACGTCAATCAGTCCCAATTTATGTCATATACTAATAACATACGAAATATCGTTGTTTTATCTGAAAAAATAAAAAAGTTATAGGGGGTGAGCCACTTTTGAGACGCACCCGGTATTTTGGCGCTCAAATTTTTCGCTTTTGGTGTACCTACTACCGGACAGTGAATGTTTTTTTGGTTTATATTTTGTTGATTCCGGTGCTATTTGCGTCCTATAAAAGTTCATAAATAAATTTATACTTTCTTTTTGCGACGTCTGGATTTTCTCCGTCATTTGTCCGCTCTGTATACTATTATGGTGTAAAGAAGAGCTAATCTTATTACCTATCTATATTATGTCACCTATGCCGTATACAGGGACGCGCCATCCATATGGGCAAGGTCGTGCAGCGCACGACGGCGCCAAAGCGCTAAAGGCGCCTGCGGTCACTGAATTTAAAAAATAATAAAACCATTTTTTAGAACTTATCAACAAATTAACATAAAAAATTTAAATAATACTTCTCTATGAACACCAGTAGTAAAAATATATTATCCACTTTATTATCCACCAATATCGAGCGCCGCCGCCGGCGTCGCGCCGCTGGTCATGAAAATTTTGGCTTAATATTATAATTTTGGAGAAATAATAAGTTTACCCTTATTTCGCACGACGGAGCCGAAAATACTTGGCGCGTCCCTGACCGTATAATGAAAAAAAAAAACGGCGTCCATTTGGCTGGGAAATGAACATCGATAACCTTCCCCATATAATTTTACATATAAAATGACAGCGATCGTCATTTCATAGCTATCGCTGACGCCGTTTTGTTTCCTTTGGTTTTTTCGATATATTATATGATCAGAGGTACCTTATGATAAAAAAAACGGCGTCCTGTCGCTGGGAAATGACGATCCATGACATTTCCCACATTTAAACTTATTAAAATGACAGTGATCTTCATCATATCTTTATTTCATAGCTATCGCTGACCCCTTTTTTTTCGATCATAGGTACGGTAAAAATCTTGTAAAAATCAGACCACCGATTAGACATTAAAAAATTCTGGCTGATCAAAAATCTGAAATCCAGTCCTATAAAAAAACATCAATAATTCAAATTAATATTCCGTTATATAACATAACATTCCACAAAACTCTAAAAACAAACTCGTCTAGCGATGATCTAACCATACGCACGGTACAATAAATATAATCTGTGAATATAATTAAATGACCTTCTCATATAAAATTATACAGAAAAATCCTCAATAATCAGGATTCTGAGTTGTTTAGACGTTTCATTGCATATATTTTTGCTAGTTTAAGGTGCTGGTACGTGGTAAGACCTAATAAATTCGCTTTTATTGTTATATTTTTTTACTATTACCTGCCTATTACAAAGCTATTACTTTTAAATAGCATAACTTTTTAAAAAATAAAATACCTGGTTTAAAAAGGTTCAAAAGCGGGTAAAATTTGACGTCTGCTTGTATTGTTTTGGTATAAATTTGAGGTTAGAAAATCAGCTGATGCATTTCCGCACAACTGCGATTGTGATTTTAGTAAATAAAAACATCTTGAGTAAATTTCTAATTGTATTTAAAGGAAAAATAAATACCCAAAAGTTAAAGGTAATTGTTACCAATATCCTGTTACGTATTTAATTGCAGATAAAAATGGTTCAGTGCAAAATAAATCTCGACAACTATACTGGCCAATATTTTCCTGGAAATACCATTCAAGGACAAGTTATAATACAATTAAATAGCGACACAACTTTAAGAGGTATATAACAGTATTTATGTTCGTATTTTACGTGAAATATACACTTTGTTGTAGGTGTTAGAGTAACACTTTCTTGTAACGAACATACTGAATGGCTGGGGAGTGAATCTTACTACGACAACGATGCAAGAGAGCAAAAATCTAGAACCACTCAGTTTCAAGGGGACAACGAGGTGTTTTCTCTGAAGCAATGGCTTTATGGAGATCGTAAGTAATATCCTATCTGTGTATGAATAGATTGTGTTTGCTTATGTCGTTTATATAGAAAATGCCAAAGTAAACCTTTCTTCGGGACAGCATATTTACCCGTTTAATATCCAACTACCACAGAATATTCCCAGTACCTATCACAGTGAAAAGGGTACAGTGTCATATAAAATAACAGCTACAGTTGACAGACCTATGGCACTTGATTTCGAAGATAATATGGTGATTGTAGTTAACTCACCAATTGATTTGAATACTATTGCTTCAGCTACAGATCTAGTAATTATAATATATATTTTATCTCTGTTTAGTAGGGATTTATAAATTATATTCTATTCTTTTAGCAACCTAGTTCATATTCGGATGAAAAAACTCTGTGTTGTTGGTGCTGTGCACAAGGTCCAGTTACAATGGACGTTGAGTTGCCTAAAAAAACACTAATTCCCGGAGAACATGTCGAAGTTAAAGTCAGTTTAACCAACATGTCAAATACCAATGTCGAAGGAGTTAGCCTAGAGCTAAAACAGGTATAGAAAAACAAATAAAAGCAAATTAGCATGCACGTCATCAAAGTAGGTATTTGACGAATGCACGTCGCACTGTTGCCACAGCTACTTTTTCTACTTTGACTTTTGACAAGTGTCAAATAAAATTTGTAATTTTGTCACTGATTGTTCACTTCTATTTTAGACACAATACTTAAAGAAATATATTTTTTTATTTCTACATTATTACTTTGTCTATGATTATTACACAAACAAATTCTAATTAAATGAAGTTATTCGCAAGTTTTCTGAATGAAATCTGAAAAATGTAAAGCTCTAAAGGTTTTAAAATACCTGGTTCAAGTTGGCTTGGCAATAACGATCAAAAACAGTCTCCAAATGACAGCGATCGTGATTTTAAACGCCGTTTTTTCCCATACTTCTTTTTTACTTCATTTTTGAGAGAAATAGAAAGATAGAAAAATAGAAAAGTCTTAAATAAGTGCAAATATTTTCAGTGCTCGTAGATCTCGATTAAAGAAAATCGAAAATTATTTTTCAAATAAGTCCAAAAACCGAGGTATTTTACTTTGAAAATTAAAAAAAAATTGTTAAATTTTGAGAACCACTGAATCTTTTCTGATTTTTCTTTCTTGTAAATTTAATCTACTATCTGTGTTGCCATTTTATGAAGATACAATGTTTTTTGTAAAAATTTTAAAAAATTAAAATTTTTCACAAAATTCCAAATGTTTTAAAAATAAATCGTAGACGTGTTTCTGAGGTCGAAATATACTACCCCTAGAAATATTTGCACTTATTTAAGATTCACCCTGTATTTATTTTTAAAAAATTTTGAGAGCTACCGTTTTTTTTTCTATAAAATTATACACTGGGAAAATATGCGGTGAAGGCAGTTCTAAAAAGTTTTCGAAAATATACAGGTAAATTTCAAATAAATGCACGATTTTCAGCATCTCTTTTTTGCGAAAAAAAAACTCATAGACATATTCCTGGGGCCGAAATATACCACCCAGAAAATATTTGCACTTATTTAAGGCTCAGGGTGCATCCACGTTATCCTAGAAAAAGCGGATCGGCGTAACAACCTTGAAACGATTTCCAGCAGTGGCGGATACAGAGAAGGGGCCCGGGCCCCCCTAAAATTTGTAAATTGTGTTAAATATTAGGCTTTTTTGTAAAAAATGGCGCTCTAAAAAGCATATTCTACATTACTTTTATTTTGGGCCCCCCCTAAAATAAATTCCTGTATCCGCCCCTGATTTCCAGTAAATCTATTGGCTGAAATTTTTGACAGATGAATTTTTCAGGTAATAGAATTACTGGAAATCGTTTCAAGGTCGTTACGCCGATACGCCAATCCGCTTTTTCTAGGATAATGTGGATGCACACTTACCCTGTTTTATTATTCAGATTTTGACATATAAAGTGACAGAACCTAACAAAGAGGAAAAAGAAGACTCACTGATTTTGGTGGATTTAAAAGATGTTGGTTTAGGTGCACATGGAGAGAACACCTATCTATTTAATGTTACTTTACGTCCAAATGTGGAGTTGCCAAATTTTGCACAATGCAGACTATTTGCCGTTGAATATAGATACAAGGTAGACTATTTTGTATAAACATTTTGAGGTATTTTATGATATTTTAAAATAAATTACAGGCCATAACGAAATTACCGTCCATGCATAAGAATCTCGAGATTAATATGACGCCGAAAGTGGGTCATATACCGTTGGCTGCACAAAATGCTGGAGCTCCATACTCGACTCAAGGAAATTTGTATCCTGATATGGGATGGACTGCAGGACCCAATCCGACAGCTCCGCCAATAAGTAAGTTGTCACCTCTCTGTCAAATTTAAAATTGAAAAAAGAACAATATCACAGTTGCCTTGGAAACGAGAATCGATGATATACCGGGTGCGTCTCAAAAGTGGCTTACCCCTATAACTTTTTTATTTTTTCAGATAAAACAACGATATTTGATATGTTAGTAAATGACATAGATTAGGATTGATTGACATATTCAATTGTTTTTGGTCACTTCCGGTTTCACCGGAAATGACTACAACTTTTGATTTTTAAATGGCACCCTCGGTATTATTTTACTTTATTCTATAGAAAATGACACTCTGAATAGAATGACATATCATACGTCAACTTTTGACATTTTCGCATATGGTTTATTTGAAATTGTAACCTGCGGTTCATAACGACAATTTGACTCAAAATATCGAATGTGTGGTATCAAATTATCGTAAAAAAAATGCCTTTTCTAAATATACTAATGAGCCACCCTCGTTCCATTTGAAAACATTGAGATAATGATTAAAAATACGATTTGGACATCTTTTAACTGGCCAGGACAAGACACTAAAAACATTAAACGATCAAATCTATTTTTCCAAGGCTCCTTGATTAAAAATTAGTGTTTTTAAAGATTTTTGATTAAAAATTAGTGAAATTTAAAATGCAATTTGTTTTTGAGGGAATATGTAAAAAGTTGACATATGATATATGTCATTCGATTTAGAGTATCATTTGCTATTGAATAAAGTAAAAAAATATTGAGGGTGCCATTTAAAAATCAAAAGTTGTAGTCATTTCTGGTGAAACAGGAATTGACCAGGGGCAGGAAAGTGAAATAGCAAAAGCGGTTCCATCGTTTCCACGGAAATTTCGAATAAAATAGTTCCAGCCTCGGGCGCTAGGTGGTAGTGCAATTAATTTTTAGGTTAAAAAGTTGCTACTAGTTATTGCCAGATGGCGTTCAATCAGATTTTTTTGTAGTTTCCATAGTTTCCAACGGCCATTGTCATATTATTGTCAAATTCTCAAAAAATATTGTCGTTGTCATAGCGCCAATCATAATATTATCAAAAATAATTATCAAAGTACCTATTTATATTTACTCCATTTAAGTACCTATTTATATTTACTCCATTTACAAAATTTTGGGCGTATTACGTTGGTCTTGTTTTATTATAATAAACGATGTTTAAATATTTGACTTATAATTAAAATCTTTAAATAATAAATAATATTTACACATGTTTGGCTTTAATTTTATTTAATAATTGTATAATTATATTGAAGTTAAATCTTATTTTTACACATCACAACGATACTTGTTATTAGTATTGTTGAATTTGTGTAAAAAATAAGATTTAATAATAAATTAACTATAAATTTTATTAAAAACACAATTAAATCGTATACTAACAATGAAAATGTAGTATCCCAGTCGATCGCAGTGCCTCTGCTGTCAAACCGAGGAAGCTGCTTAAAAGTGGGGACAGAAATTTCAAATTTGCCCATTGCCGATAAATCTCCTTTTTTAAGCCCTCCATAGTATATTCTTTGGAATTGACCGAAAACAACTGAATACGTCAATCAATCCTAATTTATTTCATATACTAACATACCAAATCTCGTTTTTTATCTAAAAAAATAAAAAAGTTTTAGAGACGCACCCGGTTTATCATTTGTTTTTTAAAATTTATATAAAAACTACAGGTTGGATATAAAATAAGTTATTTTTTTAGGTGAAAAACAACAATTTGAAGGCGATCCAGGTTACAACAGATTTGATCAACGTAAGTTTAGAAATTTTAGGCATTTAGCATGATGATAAAAAAAACAGCGTTATAGTTGTCTTTGAATTTATATTTTATGACTATGAATCACTATTACACCGTTTTTTTTTTCGATCATATGGAATTTTAATACTATTTTTTTAATATTTCTTTTCAGCACCTGCATATGACACTCTGAACAATTAAAAATATATGCCCCTTATTAGTATTTAAATGTATTTTAAAAACTTTGTCTTGAATATTAGTATGTATATATATATTGCAGAGATATAATATATAAAAATATTTATTTTTATGTATGCTATTTTACATATTTTATATTTGTTGTGCACATATTTGTATTGTAAATATATTTATAAATAAACATATAAATATAAACTTGTTTGGTTCTTTTTTTATAAAAGGATTAGATTATAATTTAATAATATTTATGTAAATTTAATTATGTATTTACAAAATAGATTAAAGCTATGGTTAAATTAATTAAACAATGAAAGCAATTTAATAATTAATAATCTAGGAAAATTATAATTTATAATACCTAATCGGTAATATAGAATTAAATTAGAAGATTAGTAAATTAGAAGTTTCCAAAGAACTACAATATCTAGATCGGAAATTTTTTGCACATCACGGTTTTGCAAAGAGATCTATCGATTAAAAATATTTTCAATATGGCGGCACTTCCGGATTGAAAAACCTTTTCACTAGTGAAATAAAAAAGGTTGGTGTTCATTTGAAAAAAATGATTTAGGATAATTTTTTAATGGCTCAATTTCATAACAACTACTGCCTATACAGATATATCTGAAAACTATACATTTACATTTAAATTATAAAAAATATATTTTTTAGTATTATTTTTACTAGAATTTACTGCGTTAGTCCTTACATTGTCTTGGCGATTTTTATTTCTACGTCTGGCCTTTTCGCTATAAAACCTGTCTCCAATCAAATGGGACGCATCGACATAAAATCAGAGTCCGAACAGTTAAAGTGACAGGAGCAATAAAGCCGGACATTATTATTGCTATCGCTCAGCGAATTTCAGCTACAAATTGAACAATAAGAAGAATATAAAGTTTCAAGAGTGTTTAGGTAGTTATTTTCGTTTTGATAAATAGGAATTTGGTCATGTAATTTCTTCGGAAGAACAAAAAAATTAATATTTTTATTCATTTTTCTCAAACTGAAATCTGACAATATCAGGAAATAAATAAATAAACGCGGCACACTTGATTTTTTTACAGCAGAGCTACCACCAGAATCCCCAGCGCGAAATTTAAATTCCACTTAGTCAGCGCGGCGCCGAATATGTCCATGGTTGGCAACAATGAATTTAAAAATCGCGCACTCGATTACGTAACTAAAAGTTTAATTGATATTAAATATACATTAATTTATTTTAGGTGAGTTGCAATCTTAATAGTATTTTTAAGAGACATAAGCATTCTTCATTAAATATCGGAATATTATACTGGGCGTTCCATTTAAAATAAAAGAGTAACTTGCTTTTAAAAGTGGTCAATGTTCAGTATTAATTTTGTCTGGCCCTGTATAACTTTTCAGGTCAAGTTTTAATTTGATTTAAAGTACCGTACGATCGAATATACACGGCGTCAGCGATGGCTATGAAATGAAGATCGCTGTCATTTTATATGTAAATTTATATGGGAAATGTCATCGATTGTCATTTCATAAGCATCGCTGACGGCGTTTTATTCGATCATATGGTACAATGAATATTTTTAATTACATATTATAAGCTATACCGGGTAAATTCCAATGTAGGTAGCTATTATTGAAATTTAAAATATATTCTTCATTTTTAGAAAATGCCAAATACACTATCGGACAAAAGTAGAGCAACACTTCGAGAAATATTTGCAAATCGCAATTTTTAATTATACACGCATGACAATGTACAGTTCGTCACCGCAAATCGCTCCGCCCACTCATTTTATTGGCTACTTGCAAATTTGTCGAATTTTTATTGATGGAACGCATCGTCTAATTATTTACGAAAAACATCGAGAGAATATCGTTTCCCCTCTCACGGATACCCCGTAGCCTCAGAACGGACAGACGTACTGTATACAAATACAATAAATTTAAAAACTACGAAGTAGGCTATGAGTATCCATGACAGCAATCATTTTTACTAATAAAACAAATGAATTTATTTTGACATTTAGTTTTAAATGCTTAGTAACGCGTCAAAAGTAGAGCAACATTCCAAAGAAGAGTTTTAACAAAAGTAAAGGCCAAAATAATTGTGCGAGGTTTATTTTATGTTTTTTAAAATGTTTCTATGCTGGATTATTCATGCCAAGAGGAATTCCAATTTCAAAAGACTTGAAGCAAAGAGTTGTGAATGCATTCATGAAAGCCTGAAAGGTAACAAACAAGCCGATATTTCAAGACAGTTTGTGTTACCTCGGTACAGTGTACCTAAAATAATTTCATCGTATAATGACAGGGGACACTTATAAAAGTTGCCAAAATCGGGAGGCCAAAGCAGAGAAAGAAAACAACAGTAATGACCGACAAACGCATCAAAACAATTGCTCAAAATGATCCTTGGAAGTCCGCACCTAGAATTATTGCCGAAATTCCAGAAATTACGGTTGGTATACGAACAGTACAATGAAGATTAGTAGATGCAAATTTATGTAGTAGACGTCCAGCTAAAAAGCCGTTAGTTTCGGAAAGAAATAGAGCAGCAAGGTTGGCATTCGCACGTCGGCATTTAAACTGGACCGTCAATGACTGGAAAAAAGTTTTGTTCAGTGATGAAACGCGCTACAAAATATTCAATTCTGATGGAATGAGACGTGTGAGGCGACCAGTCAATACAAGGTTTAATCCTAAATACGTAACACTTACAATTAAACACGGCAAAGGCAGTGTATTTTTATGGGGTTGTTTCTCATGGAATGGGACAGGCCTTATACACTTTATTAATGACACGATGGACCGATTTGTTTATAGGGATATCATGCAGAATGTTATGCTTCCTTATGCAAAATGGGAAATGCCACTGCGTTTTATTTTCCAGCCAGACAACGATCCAAAACACTCTTCACAAGTTGTTCAACAGTGGTTTAGGGAAAATGACGTTCGAGTTTTGCAATGGCCAGCACAATCCCCAAGCCTTAACCCCATTGAAAATCTCTGGGAAGAAGTAGAACGTCGTATTCGTACCCAAATGTTTCCAAATAAACAATCCTTGATAGATAAAATTAATGAAGTTTGGACGGACAAATCTTCCCGAAAATGTCATTCAGAAGTGATTGCTTCAATGCCACGCCGTTGTAAGCAAGTTATTAATAATAATGGATATTCTATCAATTACTAATATATTACTTTCAATTATTATTGTTCTTAAATGTGGTAAATATTTTTTGTTGAAATAAGACACAATAAAATCTGTTGAATACAATTTGTTGCTCTACTTTTGTCGCCTCCATTCTCATCAATTTTTATAATCATTATTATTTACCATTTTTAAACGATTAAAAGGACACCAAAATTTTGTAAAATATTACTTTTAGTGTAAGGATAGTGCTTTAGTAAACATAGTCGAAAATCACAACCTAATATTTTTTTTTATTCAAACATGAATAAAAATGAACTTTGTCGTTCTACTTTTGTCCGATAGTATATGTCGCGAAAACCTTACATTTTAATCATATGCTTATTTTATGAAATTGCGCTTATTTTTTTCTGGAATTCGAAAATCAATTAATATATAGTGTCCCATTACAAAAAAAAAATTTTTGGGGATACCAAGGAGATACCTTTGTACATCTCACAAAATTTATTTCAATTCAAACTGTCCTTCTTGGAGCCACCGTGTCGTATGAGAGGCGCTACCCTGTAGTGGCTTCACAAAACACCGGAAAGGTAAAATAAATTATAATATTCTGATAACAGCACTGTCATTTTACGAAGTTTATTTTTAATAATTGTAGCACACTTCAAAAACATGCTCTTTTTTAAATTTTCTTTACTTCATTCACAAAAATGGTGAATATAAAATTTCAATGAATAGCATCCGTAGAAAGAATTTTTAAAATTGAATATTTCTCTGTCGGTATTTTCTACAGTTTTCCAATTCCAAAAGTTTTTTTCAAAGCATATACATTTCAAAAATACCTTTGCCTCATAATTAAAACAGAATGATTAACTAAAAATCAGTAGCAAATGAATTAGAGAAAAAAAAAAGGAAAAATATAGTAATCTATAAGGAAAAATTATGAAGATTACTATTTAACTTTTCACTCCTATTTTTAATTTTTAATTTTTTTTATTTTTAAATCAAATTTTATAAAATAATAGTATTGAGGCAACTAAACATACAAATAACGATTGCTGCGCCATCTCTCCGCAAGTGTCATTAGCTTTCATAAATTTCGCTTGTTTTCCCATCTGTGAACTCAGGGAATAAGTAACTTTAAAAAGAATTCTATTTAATTCATCATTTGTATGTGGTGCCATCTAGTAAGGATTAGATTTATTACTGTTTTATTGCCATCTATGATTTATACCATCAAATACTTAAATAAAGAATTCGTTTTATAGAAACGTCTAAAGTACTACCTATTATTGGGAAACTGAAATATAATTTTTTCGATCTATTTTACACCGGTGTAATTAATCAATTGCAGATTTCTGTAATTGACATGAAATTGACATAACCACTGTCATGTGTCATATTTGCTTCTTCTTCTCCCTTCTCCATCTTTGTTGTCTTTACTGAATTGACAAAAGAAAAACATATTCTGGAAAATGAGATTTTTCATGAACCCACAAGTTTTCTTTGGCCTCTTTTTACAGTGTTGCAGTTTTTAGATTTGCCGTACCGTGAATTTGTCGTAGAATTTTGTGAATTTTCTTCCTGTGCATACACACTATTGTATTGTACACTATTTACTACTTATTGTGATGCTTAAATCTGGATATGCTTCCTGAAGATTCGTGTAAGTATTTTGTGGTGTTTTGTTACGTCTTATGTCGTTTTCAAGATGGAAAAGCTAGTGGTACTACTCGTTTTGTTAAATTCCGCATTCCTTTGCTTCTATCTCATTAAAATTATTTTAGGAACAAAACCAGATAATTATTCAATTGACGTATTTTACTTTTAACATCGTTTGAAAGTCATTAATTAATTATTTTTTATAAGTTATTTATCGAATCAATGTTTATGAATAATATTAAATTTAAGTTTGTCACACGGACGCATTTACGTAGGTTTATTATTGATAAACGTAAACGTTTCACAATCACACAGATAATTGCATTGAAGAGAATTTTATGAATGTTTTAAAGTAATGTGCACTTTCTACTCGCACATTCAGATCTGAAAGAATTCCTGATATTTTTAGAAAACAAGAGTACGAATATCCTTTAAAAAAATACGCTCAAACAGTTGTTATTTTTAGCATGTTCTTGTCAAAGTTTATTCAAACAATTTAGTACGAATTAGTAATTAAACGTAACATATTCCTTATCATTGGAATGTGCTAAATATTTCATAAAGGAATGCGCTTATCTTATTTTCCCACTCATTGTTTATTGACGGATTCACATTCCGATGTTATTTTAATTTCGTAAAGTCTGTTTTATAAGTTCATTCGCGAATTTTTATGTACGCGTAGTACTGTGCTGCATGCAGGTGAGGTTATTTTATTGTTCATTCAATAGGCATCTGTTATAAATATTTTTAACCATGTTTTTTTTGCAATAATGAATCACGTACTATAAACAAGTCTTTCTTGGACAAGAATTCTCTCTTATGCAACATAAACTTGTAGCTATATCAGATTTGAGTCTTTTGTAGATGATTAAACAGAGCAGGACTTTAAATTAACTTTAATAAACCTGAAAAATTGTTTAAATCATCAAGGTCGCACGTAGAAGTCTTAAAATCTGACTAGTTTAACCATATATATTTTTGTTACAGACAAATTTCGATGATACACTACTATTTTCATTAAAAAACTAAATATGCAGCCATCAAATCAGTTTAGAACGTATCCTGTACAGCTAGGATCAGCTCAAAGTATGTTTAAATTAAATTCAAATCTTTAAATATACTAAAACACAATTTTAGGTCATTTTCCTCAAAGTTTAAGTGGCAGTGAAACGGATGTATCAACCTCAAATGAAAATTTATCAAACGAAGAGAAATACGTGATTCGTCACACGCCCAGGCAAGAGCCCCAAGGGCAGGAAAACTTACAAACTAGCAATAGGAGTTCTTTAAGGGAGAGTTTACCATCAGACCGGAGTTCCTTGGATGTGTCCTCATCGTCATACAATACCCTGATTATTCATAGTGCCGGAGATGAACCATGGACAGGTACAAAATACATTTAACAGTGTTTTAAACAGTATAAATTATTTAAATAGTGTGTAGGTTTCTAAGTTCAAAAGTTATGTCATTGAAATTGTTTTGGAACAATATTGATTCATGTAAATTTAGCTTTAAACAACTCTGTTTATAGGCAGGAATTCTGGACCTACCTCATCATCGAGTTATATCCAACAGAATTTGTACAGCGACTCTAAATTATCTCCTATTCAGAAAAGAAGTTCGGCATCTCCGTCACCTTCTATAACAAGTAAGGTCATAATTTATAATTTTGTAATATATAATCTTTATTAATTTCTCTATAAATTAGTGTTCCTGATAAACATTCTTTTTCAAACGTCACAAAAGTATTAATTTTTTAGACAAAAGTATGAATTTTTGAGACATGATTGACAATATAAAAGTAATTTTAACGCCTAGGCATAAACGTAAGTAAAGCCGGGTCCACATATGTAGCACTCTATTGTATCAGGATCATGTATCACGTATCAAAAGCTTGTATCGTAAGTATGGACGTTTATTTGGACTGTGTCGACTGAATATGCATACCATGCCAAAGTAAGCGTCCATACTTATAAAATTCATACGTATCAGCGTACAAGCGTGCGTATCAGTGTATGTGGACGGTACAACAAAACACCTTGTATCGTCGTATCATGTTCATCAATTCTTGTCAGCAAACCCTCGATGCCCCTTTGATGATCGGAGATAAACCGCCTCAAGACGGGTCACGGCGTATCAAGTCAATTGTATCGTTATACTGTATCAAAACACGTCCAAATGACAGATCGTGATACGTGTATCCGATACGCAGTGTTAAGATACGCGCCAAAATTCGGATTGGCATGTATCAGAAACGGTATCACAAAGGTGTACCATATGATCGCGTTAATTCGGCGTCCAAACTAGCGATCATGATACATGTTGGTGCAACGCGACGGAGATATGATACACCAAGATGCTACATATAAGTAAGCACAAAAGTATCTACGAAAATATATTATTAAACTGACATAAAGTGCCAAATTCAACAAGTGTAGCCATAGTTTCTAGATGTATAATTACTTACTAGATTTTACTTTTAAATCTTTTTATATTATTTGCAACGTTAAAAATTGTTTAAAAAAATTATTTGTGACGTTTAAATAAAATAGCATGATCTATTCGCAGTAAAACTGACTTTTTGTGCCAGTAATGTCGCTAATGTCAAACGTACAGCCTTGTCACAAAAAGTGTCATTTTTACTCGCAATCAAACAATATAATATTGTTTTTTTTTTGAAGGTGTTCAAGAAATAACCGAAATTCCTGACGATTACTTGAGCCAGTCTAGCGTTTTGAAGCATTTAGCTAAAGAGGTTAGGATAAAATATAATAATTTATCGTGTATCAATTGATTTAAATCTTTTTTTTATAGGTTAAGGTTCCTTCACCTTCAGGTGGACTTGTTGGAAATGACACTCTCCACGACCTATTGGGTAAATTTGATGTACCCTTTGATTTGCATAACATACCTCCACCACCTCCCGAATATCCAACAAAATGGGCAGAAAAATCACCTCTACAGATGGCGGTTAGCAGTAGAAATAAAATTAACAGCGAAAAATTGGCTCTGTCCAAGTCACAGCCCGATTTAACTTCTGTCGGAGTGGGAAAAAGCGATTTTTCAGGTATTTTTTATTATTTTTTGCTATTTTAGAATTATGCTAGGTTATGGTAACGGTGAGACAACACTTAAACTTGATTTATCCCGTTTATTTTAAGAATTACAGTAAAATGTTATATAGAAAAATTTTAGGGGGTGTTGTGATACAAGAATTAACTTTATTTTCGAGTATACAGTTCGCTTGATAAAAGTGTGGCGGCTACCATGACTTTTTAGTAGTGTTTTAGCCCTAAATTATAAATTAGTAACTTTACTGAAATAAATTAAAATCGCAGTCTTCTAATTCTTGGAGTATTTCCAGTATGAAAAATATGACACACCCTGTATATTTTTATTTCTTTAAAAGGTTTTAAAAGAGGCGTTTCCGCACCGAGACCTCCGACAAAAGGTCGCGAAGAAAACGAATCTAAAGGCGAAGAAGTGTGGTCTTCGAGAGAAATGGTGGAAATTTTGATCAAAGAAAACAGTGCCTTAAAACACGAACTAGAAAATTGCTACCAGAGAATCGAAAGAACCAATAAGGTACGCCAGAATTTTTTGAAAACCATTGAAAAAAATTCTCACTTCATAACTTTATTTTTAGTTGGAACAAGAAATTTTCAAGGTACACAAGGCCCATGAAGAGTTAGTCCAATCCTGTGAGAGAAGAGAGAGGCTAGAAAGGGCTGCTCGGTCGAGACTTCAGGCCGATTGTCGAAGGTATCAGGATTTTAATCGAGCACTAAGGGAACAGGTTAGTTATTTTGTCTCTAAGAATTTTTTTTGGGGTATTAATTGATATATTTTTTTTGTAATTTTAGGTGGATTTACTATCGACTCAAGTGCTTAGTAGGTCACCTGTACCAGATTCAAGTGGTTCAGAAAGTTTAAGAAGGGAATTGAGTAAAAGAGAAGGTATCATCAAGCAGCTGATAATGCAAAGTAAGTAAATGTCAATTTAGAAGCTACCATTGTTTTTGGTCACTTCCTGTTTCACTGGAAATGACTACAACTTTTGATTTTTAAATGGCACCCTCAATATATTTTTACTTTATTCAATAGAAAATGACACTCTGAATAGAATAACATATCATATGTCAACTTTTGACTTTTTTGCGTAAAAAGTCGTATTTTAAATTTCAATCTTGAGTGCTATGGCTGTGTTAAAAACACTAATTTTTAATCAAGGACCCTTGGAAAAATAGGTTTGATTGTTTAATGTTTTTTGTGTCTTGTACTGGTTAAAAGATGCCCAAATCGTATTTTTAATTATAACTCTATTTTTTCAAATGGAACAAGGGTGGCTCATTAGCATATTTGAAAAAAACATTTTTTTACGATTAATTTGGTACCACACACTTGGTATTTCAAGTCAAATTGTCGTTATGAACCGCATTTTACAATTTCAAATAAACCATCTGCAAAAATGTCAAAAGTTGACGATGATATGCCATTCTATTCAGGATATCATTTTCTATCAAATAAATTAAAAAAATACCAAGGGTTTCATAAATCAAAAGTTATAGTAATTTTCGGTGAAACAGGAAGTGACAAAAAAAATAGAATACGTCAATCAATCCTAATTTATACCATATACAAACATACCAAATTTGTTTTTTTTTATCTGAAAAAATTCAAAAGTTATAGGGGTGAGCCACTTTTTGAGATGCACCCGGTTATTATGTGTGTATAGCTTCATTCAGAACCTCCCAATTAGCGGAATAAATCAGAGGTTTCAATTACTCTTTATACTTTTTAGTTTACGATCATTCACAATGTTTAAAAAACACAATTAAAATTAATAGAATATCCTAGCACCAGCTTGCGTTAGTCAGTTGTATCCATGGAGAAAGCATAATATTTATCTTATAAAACAATCAACTTTTGATTTCTAACCACAATTTCTCTCGACAGAAGATAATCAAAGGCCAAAATGACATTTCTCGCAAATTCTGAAGTCTAATTAATGGAAAAGTTAAAAGTTTAATAACTTTTTCTACTAATTGAAAATATCTACCACTAATTTTGATGTTCTGAATGCTTACATTGAAATTAAAGGAACAAACTTCGATACTAATTGGAAGCCAGGTTCTGAATGCAGCTTGTGTCTTATTGATTCAATTTTTTCTAAGGTTGTTAATGTTTTAGAAAAACACAAGGTCACGGTAGTCTTCGGTAGTCAAGTGCCAAAAATATACTTTCAAAAGCTGCTTTGACTCTTTTTTTCGGTATTTTGATGTAAATTTTTCTAAGGTTGTTTTAGAAAAAAAGTGCTTTGGTATGCATTGAAATGACAAAAGATAATAATTTCTGAAGTTACCATAACCCTTTTTTTTATCATATTCGATATTTTGATGTATCTGTGTTTTAGTGATTCAAATGTTTCTAGGATTATTGATGTTTTAGAAAAAAAACAGTCTCACGGTAGACTTTGTAATGGTAAAAATGTCATTTCAGAAGCTACCATGACGCTTTTTTTATTTTTGATCTTACAGTATTTTGATGTATATGATAATATGGTGTATGTTCTAGTGATTCAAATTTTTCTAAGGTTATTGATGTTTTAGGAAAAAACAATGTCACGGTAGCCTTTCAAATTACAAAAATATAATGTCAGAAACTACTTTGACTTTTTTTTATCCTATCCTGTATTTTTATTTATATTATAAGGATATTGATGTTTTAGATAAAGAATTGGCAGCTGCGAAAGAGCGGCAAGAGATAGAGCTAGCTGCCCAAAGGGCGACTTTACAGGAACAGCGTACACATATCGACATATTGGATACGGCCTTGACTAATGCTCAGGGTAACGTTGTTCGACTTGAAGAAGAGGTAAGTGACAAGTGACAACGTGTTAACCATTAGCGTAACTAGAAAATTATCCTGGGGGGGGGGGACCTGGTGTTGAGCCCAGGGGGGCCTAGGGTTTTTGTTTTTTTAAAAATGAAAAATAATTTTAAAAAACACATTTTTTTAATAAAACGTTTACATGAATTTCTCTATCAATAAATTTCATAGACTTGGTTATCAAACCTGTAGATTACTTAAATACCTACAAATTTTCTAAAAAAAATAAATATTAACAAATTTTTTGAACAGAACAAAATAATATTAACTAAACAAAACTAGAAAACGTCATTTTTACTACATCACAAGCAAATAAAAATTAATACGTAGCCAAGAGTCATAATTCAGGATTTCCCTGGTGGGTGCCCAGCAGTACCTTTGGGGGGGGGGGGGCACCCCCGTGCACCCCTCTAATTACGCCAATGGTGTTAACAACTTAAATGTTCTGCGATCGTCAAAATGTTTGACAACCGTTTTTCTATTTTTTTTTTTAATTTCGATTTTATTTTTTTAGAACCGCAAGAAGCAAGTCTATGTTGAAAGAGTGGCTCAGTTACAGAGGGCGCTGTACTCTTTGCAGTTGGCAAGCGACAGACGAGAAGAAACCGAACGAAAATTACGTTTGCAACTCGAACGTGAGCTGCAACGCTCCAAAGTAGTACCAGGTAAGATAATTATCCTTATATTTTATATTTATTATAATACATGGTGAATATGCAACCAGTATTACGCGGAATCCTAAGAAAATTAATTCAGAAACTGGCTTTATAACATATCCATAGAATATCTTAGCTGCAGCTACAGTTTATGATTCTTTACATTTTTTACATATATTTAATGCCATAATGTAAAAAACTAAAAACACCCGAAATGTTCTTTCTTTTTAGCTATCTTGCACATTTTGCACTAAAATAGGTTGTAAAAAGAACAATGTTTGACTGCAAGGTCTGCTAGTAAACAATTTTTAGCTTAAAGCTTCGTTCAGAACCTCCCAATTAGTGGAATAAATTAGTGGTTTCAATTACACTTTATACTTTTTAGTTTACGATCATTTGTCTAATCATCTGTTTTGACATCAATGTCTAAAAAACACAATTAAAATTAATAAAACATCCTAACAACAGCTTGCGGTAGTCTGTTGTATCCATAGAGAAAGTATAATATTTAGCTTATAAAATATAATAAACTTTTGATTTCTAACCAAAATTTTTCTTGAGGGGTGATAATCAAACGCCAAAATGACATTCCTCGCAAATTTTGATGTATAATTAGTGGAAAAGTCTAAAGTTTGTTAACTTTTTCCACTAATTGAAAATTATTACCACTAATTATGACGTTCTGAATGCTTACATTAAAATTAGGTGAACAAACTTCTACGGATAATTGAAACTACCAATTTATTCCACTGATTTTGAGGTTCTGAATGAAGCTTAAATATATAAACAAGGCTTAAAGGTATCACAACACAATTTATTTAAACCAAAAACTCATAATACATAACTAAAGTGTCAAAACGAATGACAATGTCAGGAAATAAATAAATAAATGTGGCAACTTGACATTTTTTACAGCAGAGCTACCACCTGAATCCCCATCGAGAAATTTAAATTCCTATTAGTCAGCCCAGCGCCGAATATGTCCATGGTTGGCAACAATGAATTTAAAAATCGCGTCCTAACAGTTTAATTGGTATCTGAACTCTTTAGCCTGTCTCTGCCCTGGTGAATTTCTCCGACATTTTAGAAACTTGTTAACCACCCACCGTTTTGTAGCCATTCTTATGGTGCAAGTCGTACAAGTAAACAATATAACTGATACTTTTTCAGGTGAAAGAAAAGGAGGCTGGGATTCCCCCAACGGCTTAGAAAGCGAATCCGCCTCGGAATTGAAGAGACAACTGAGGGAAAAAGACGAAAATTTAATGAGGCTGGAAGGTGAATGTGCCAAATGGGAACAAAGATACCTGGAAGAGAACGCTTTGAGGCAAGCGGCTATCGATGCGGCTAGTATTCCAAAGTAAGTAATATTCTTAAGCGACCCATACATTATCAAACAAATTCCCCAAAACAGGCTGTTGCACAACTATAACATAGATTAAAAAAAGTAATTTTATTACAGTACGTCTGTCCGTTCTGAGAGGGGAAACGATATTCTCTCGATGTTTTTCGTAAAAAAGCGTCCCATCAATAAAAATTCGACAAATTTGCAAGTAGCCAATAAAACGAGTGGGCGGAGCGATTTGCGGTGACATACTCGTCAAGTCGACGTATAAAATATATTGCTGTTTATTTAAATGTTTTTTGTCCGCATTCCTTTCATAGACACAGATCCAGCAGACGAACTGTAGTATTACTAATTTTATAGTATTAAATCCCAATAAAACCATTCCTGCATGAAAATTACTTTTTTACTACATTATTATCAGATATTTTTTCATATAATAAATTATTGAATAAATATTGCATCGTGTCTTGGTCTCGTTCTCGGCCGAGAATTTCTCTTTTTCTCGGTCTCGGTCTCGGCCGAGACTAAAAATCCAGATTCGGTCGGACCTTAATTCAATCACCTCCATGTATGCATGTCTTAGCCCACATCTAAAACGGAGATGCATCTACGGTTGCATAGGTGAAGCAAGCTTGAAATAAAATAGGTGAAGCAAGCTTAAAATAATATCTCTATGAAATATACTGAAGGTCATGAAATATTTACAGGGATGCCAAAATTGCTGCATTAGAGAAAACCAGCCAGGAAACGGAGAAAATCATAGCCGAAGCCAGGAACGAAAAAATCCGACACATGGACGAAGTGCATGCAGCGCAAAAGAAAGTGGCTGACTTAGAATCTCGGTAACTAAATTATACTCTTCTATATAACTTTGATTTGATTGTTGATTTTTCTATTGGAAATAACTTTTTTTTCTTTCAATTTCAGAGTCAAAGATTTGGAATCAAAACTGGCAGAAAAAGATGCCATGATTCGAGTTCTACAGAAACACACTTACGACAAGGATGTGTCTATGTTGGGCAGATCCCCCCACCATACTCCTCATGCCAGTTTAGCTGGAACTGACATAGATTTAGGTCTGGGAGCTACGGTGTCCAGGGAAGAATTAGGTAAGAGATAGCAATCACTATACTATTTTCACAATAAACTTTGCATGTTTACAAATGAAATTTAAACCATAAATACCGTAAGATCGAAAAAAAATGGTGTCAAAGACGGCTGGAGAATGACAATCGATAATAATTTTGGTGAGGTTAATCTTTAGACGTCATTTACTAAAAATTTACATAAAACTTGTAAAAATTAACTGAACATAGAAAGATTATAGAACGTTTTAGACGTTCTTTCCTTTCTACGAATTCTATTTCCAAAAAATTATTTCTTCTCAAATTTTAAACTAGGCCATTTAAAAATCATTTTTACTCTATGTTAAAATAAATTTCAACCTTCTTAAGACCAACTGACAGCGCTTACTGTATAACAAATAACAAAGAGTACGAGCCAAGTAAATGACCTCGCCAAAATGATCATCATTTATCAGCCGTTTTTGACGCCTTTTTTTCCATCGTTTGGTATACGAATATAACAAAATATTTGACTGGCGTAGTTTTTTATTCTATTCAACGACAATTCTATTAATTTCAAGAAATTTAATTTCTTTTTCGCGTTTTTTAAATGTTAAATCCCCAAATTGATATGCCTAAAATATGGTTATTCTTCCCCTTATTTAGTCAGTAGCGTCCTGACCAATTCCACAGCGTACGGCTCTGGGAATTCGTACGCCGGTAGCGACTCCTCCTACCACATGACGTCGTACGGCAAATATGACACCAACAAAAACTTTGACACGTCCAAACAGACGCTCAACAGCCAATTGAAAGAGATCGACAGCCATTTGGACTCGCAGCTTTTAAGCAAGGTAGGAGAGGCAGAAACCTTCTACTGACCCCCAATCAGCTGAGTTGTTTTTTTTACACCCCTTTTTTTGTTTGTTTGAATTCTGATTGGAAAAAGTGTACATAGAAGCGATTTTTTCTTTTTTTAACTTTGTGATTTTAGCTTAAAAAGGTTTTTATTGAAGTACTATACCCGGTGCGTCTCAAAAATGGCTTACCCCTATAACTTTTTTTATTTTTTCAGATGAAAAAACGAGATTTGGTATGTTAGTATATGAAATAAATTAGGTTTTATTGACTTATTCAATTGTTTTTGGTCACTTCCTGTTTTACCGGAAATAACTACAACTTTTGTTTTTTAAATGAAATCCTCGGTATTTTTACTTTATTTGATAGAAAATGACACTGAATAGAATGACGTATTATATTATTATGTCAACTTCTGACATTTTCGCATATGGTTTATTTGAAATTGAAACATGGGGTTTATAACGACAATTTGACTCGAAATACCAAGTGTGTGGTACCAAATTATTTGTCAAAAGATGTTTTTTTTCAAATATGTTAATGATCCACACTTGTTCCATTTGAAAAAATTGAGATATGATTAAAAAAGCAATTTGGGCATTTTTTAACTGGCCAAGACAAGACACGAAAAACGTTAGATGATCAAATCTATTTTTCCGAGGATCCTTGATTAAAAATTTGTGTTTTTAGCACAGCCATGGCACTCTAGATTGAAATTGAAAATACGATTATTTTGTAAACGAAAATACCATTTTATATTGAATAAAGTAAAAATATACCGAAGGTGCCATTTAAAAATAAAAACTTGTAGTCATTTCTGGTAAAACAGAAAGTGATCAAAAGCAATTGAATACGCCAATCAATCCTAATTTTAATTTATGTCATATATTAAGACACCCATTCGTGTTTTTTTATCTGAAAAAATAAAGAAGTTATATAGGTGAGCCACTTTTGAGACGCACCCGGTATATAAAATATTTGAGGTTATAATCTAGGCTACAGACAAGTAAGGTAACAGGAAGGTAACTGTAAAATGGTTGACTTGAATTCCTGTTTACCAATGACGTTTTATATTTTTTTAAAGGTATTAAAATATAAAGGGTGCTTCACATTCGGCTTTCACCATTGGAATATCGGAAACGGTAAGAGATACAGGTTGGCTTATATTGGGGCAAAGTTACCTGTTAGTGAGCCCAATAATAATCCGTTTAGTAATTGAACTTGTTTGTCATTTCCGGAAATATGGCGAAAAACTGAAATTTCTGGTTTTCGTTTTCTTATGATTTTATTTTGACAGTTAGAAAAAAACTACAAATACATTCTCAAATAAACTTTTTAGCTTTATTCTTTGGTGACGTCAAAAATCACTTTAGACGTTTCGTTTTTCTGGACCATCATCAACTTTGTTTTTTAAATGAGACCTGGATTTTTATTTAATTTTTTCTATAGCAACTGTTAAAATTGCCTTATATCTATCAAAAATAGTAGATAAAATAGTACTTTAACCGCAAGGGTAGATTAAATGATACTTTAACAGCGAGGATAGGTTAAAATCTTTATTTCTTGTCGCACGTTTTTTAATTGCTTCCATTTTTGAAAATTTTTGTATTCCTTAAAGTTATTCGGGATTTAAATGGAAGTAGTTTGGATATGGCATTTGTCGCCTCAGCCTGAATATCTCTTGGTAATTTACTTATTTCGTTTTGAGCCATTTCTGGCTCCAATTCAATCAACAATCGACACGAAAGAAAATTTAAAAAAATTGACTCAAAACCACAAAACATCCCTCTTTAGAACTTCGTCTGTCATGTTAAGAAATGAAAGTAGATAATAAAGCGCCTCTCGTGTTTGTTCGCACTCAAAAAATTTCAATTAATGCCTGTATATATTTTTAATATATTTTTTAAATTTAAATTTTTTTAATTGTAAAGTAATATATTACATTTAAATGGAATATGTTACATAACAATTATGTCAATTACAAGATTACAAGCTTGTTTTCTAACATTTTTTTAATAAAACGAATTATAAAATTTCAATATATGTATATTTGTCGTAGGTATGAAAAAAGTAAAATATAAAATGGACAAACGCTTACTTACATTGCAATAAAACTTCCACTTTTAGTTTTGCAATCCAAACGCAATATTTCTATTTCACAAATAAAAATATCCGACAACACTAAAATCACTGAAACTTCCGCGGCTGACAACGAAAACTGAAAAATATAACGGCACTTTTTGTTTTGGACCTGCATATCAACATTACGCTGTACTATTATGTGTTTGTTGTTGAAATAATATAAAATATCTAATTATAACTTGTAAATTTTAATATTTTAACATGATTTTAACTACTTTTGACAATAACTAACTTTTTGTTATCAAGATGACATTTTAGACGGCAACTGACATATATGTCATAATATTTGAATCTTAAATATGTATGTAATATAATTTAAATTACTATAATGCAACTTTATACTAAGAAAACATTTATACATTCACAAAATACAACAAAGTCTAATAATATAGTTTGAAAACAATGAATATTGAATTAAAATTGAAAAAGTTAAGCGCGACCCCTTGTGTCAAAATTAGATGATTAAATTTTCGCAATTTTTAACCATTTGATGACCGGTGGCGCCTCTGGCCGTTTTGTTCGGGCGGTTGGTCTTTTACTCTCGCTTATAGCCATTGAAAAAGTTCTAAGGGGATGTTTGTGCTCAAAACTGACAACTAAAGAGAGACAACTTTATTTATTTGTCAAATTATTTTTTGAAGTTTATATCTCCCAAATACAGTGTATAGCACTTACCCAAAAATGTTGCTTGTTTTTTACACGCACATAACGAAAGTGACCTGAACATGTCTTTCAGTACATTACCTTTTATGAGAATATTCTTCTTTATGTATTTCTTGGACTACATCATTGTATTTGGGAAATTAATGAGTTTCAAAGATGCAATTAAAAAACACTTTTTTTTACTTTAAAAATCTAATATAATTAAAATAATCTCTCCAAAAAAATCCTTGCTAGGTATTTCGCCACTGCAAGAAAATCTACAAAAAATAAATAGTTATTTTTTGTAAACACTTCTGCGTTAAACCTAAACGGACACTGCTTGTCAAGTTTTGTTTATAGTTATAAAATTTGCCCTAACAAGAAGAAAATGCTTAACCTTTCGGAAAGTTTATCTCTTTCCGTCGTCGGAAGATTCTCGGAAAGCGTACTTCTTCATACCAGACAATTCTATTGTCTGATTCCCTTACTTCTCGACTTGACTAAAAGATGGCGCCTGAAAAAGTCTTTTAATTTCTGGCGGATACGTTGCGGTTGTGCAGGCAACCAGTAATACATTTTTAATTTCTGGCGGATGCGCCATTTTTCTTGACAATATAGACATTTTTTATAGTTAAAATATCTCTTTCTTACTTCATGTTATTTTATTTTTACAATAAAAACAGAGCAAGTGTAGATTGAGATATAGGTAGTTAAAAAATAATATGCACACTTTTTTCAAATCAGATTTTTCCTTTAGCCAGACTGATTATCCACGTGTTTTCTTTTGTCAACGTACCAAAGATGTTTATACATAGTTATTTTAATGATTGTTTATTATTTTTACTTTGTTGTTTTGTTTTTTTAGTTAGCTTTAATAGTAAAAATGAAATCATGTGTTTAAGCGCGGTCCACATGCAACGACTTATTGTACCTACGAAATTTGAGTCGTTGCGTATGGACCGCGCTTTACAGCTGTTTAGTGTCCAATTTTTTAATAATGCTTTTTTAAAAATAAATTAAATTTGAACAAAAAAAATCTAATAGTATTATAGACACATTCCAGATTTAATATGAATTAATATTTTTATAAAAAAAATTGATGTATAAAAAATAATACTAATTCATTAAAATGTAACGTGTTTTTTAGGATTAGCCAAATTTTTTCGAATGTATATTTTTACCAAGCTATTAGTAAATAAAACTACTAACTTTTATTTTTTTGGTTTTCTAAGCTACCATGTTTTTTGTTTTAAAATTTCGCCCATCGACAGTAAAATCGTTTAGATCTGACTAATTTATTTATTTGTTCACGTTTGCTATCGATGGGTATTTTTTCTAAATATATATTTTGCATGTATTTAGTTTTTTAGCATGTGGAAATAAATTAAACTTTTTACTTTAACCATGCGTGTGCTTGTTTTATTTTTGCCAAACTTTTTTTTATTCCTCGAGTGTGAGTTGAAGTTTCCTTCCTTAAAACCTAAAATCCTTCGTTATTTATTCCCTTCATTTTGAGGGAAATTTAAATCTAATGAAAAAACTCAGAGAAATATGTAAACAGAATATTTGTTGCTACAACCGTCATGTTTTTTATTACTTACCCCTTGCAATGTTGCAATATTTTACAGGAATCTTAGATGTACAGGGTGGGTCAAATTGGACGCTTTTAAAGGGAAACACCCTTTTCTATAGGAGATAGACGAAAACTAATATCGGTATCGGAGCTCAATTTTTATCAAAAACGTGTTGGTGAAAACCGCACATCAATATCTCTTACCGTTTCAGAGTTACGGGGTGTTCTTCAAAAATGTGCATTTTTAACAAATCGCTGTTACTTTTTTGCTATGGAAAATTTTGTATTTTTATGAAAACATTTCCAAAACACCTTTTACGTAGAATTTAATGGTTTAAGTATAATTTTTTTAAAATTAAAAATTTAACAGTTATCAACAGAAAAATTGATCTTTTATTTTGAACACCCTGTATATTTTTAATTAACTGAAAAGAACTTAAAATGACCTTTCCAAAAATATAGTACCACTTGATATTTTATTATAGTCCTCTTCGAAATACAGAATTTTTAAAAGTTCGCTACTTTTAACAAGTATAGGCTTTTGGACCTTTTATTGATCATCTGCTCCCAATGGAACTCTGAATCATATTTTTCCAGCAAGATGGGGTACCGCCTCAGAACGCTGAAGTTATCAGGAAACTTTTGCAGCTAGTTTCGAGAATAATGGAATAGCTAACCATGATCCCAGCCGTTGGCCGCCAGACTTAGTGCCTATGAATTTTTATCGTTGCGCAAGAATAAAGGTTCTTATTTTTAAATTGCCCGTATAATCTAGACAAGAATTACAAGTACTTAGAGGTTATGCGAGGGCATTCTTCACCCCACTGAGTTAATGAATTCCGTGAGTAATGTTCAAAAACGGCCCCGTCTGTCCATAACAGAAGACGGTCGATATCTCCAACACCTGTAGCAAAATCTCATGTCTTGGTTTGCTATTAATTATTATTGTTATTAGATATAGTTTAACCGTGTTAATGTTGTTAAATTTTAATATACATAGTTTAAATTGTTATAAGATTCTGCATCACTCATTGCAAATATTATTTTCGTTTTAATTGCTGCTCACAGCTGGAATTTTTTTGTATTACAGACGGCGCCGCGCCGTTCAAAGCCTACTTATTCAAAGTAGGCAAATTTTTAAAAACTCTATACCTCGAAGAGGAATCGAGCAAAATATCAAGTATGCTATATTTTTGGAAAAGTAATTTTAAATTCCTTTCAATGAATTAAAAATACACAGGGTGTCCCATATAAATAAAAAAAAAATTATTGATAATTCTTAAATTATTAATTTTAAAAAAATTATACTTAAACCATTAAATTCTACGTAAAAAGGCACTTTAGAAATGTTTTCATAAAAATACAAAATTTTCCATAGCAAATAAGTTACAGCGATTTGTTAAAAATGCACATTTTTGAAAAACAACTCCGAAACCATCACGTTTTTGATAAAATTGAGCTCCAGGCACTAGTATTAGTTTTCGTCTATCTCCTATAAAAAACGATGTTTTCCTTTAAAATTGTCCAATTTGGCCCACCCTGTAAAAATTTATACAGGTTTCTTTAAATAATTGAAAATATTTTAAGTTGTGAGAGTATATCTGGCCAAAAGAATCATATTTTCTATTTACAATTTTGAAAATAAATGAGTTATTTAACTTTACAAACGTAAAAATGAAATAATGCTCACATTTTCAGAACCAGTCGAATCATCCGATGCCGTACACTTAATACCGTATTACCGAAAAAACATTTAATACATTTTGTTGTAACTTCTTGTCTGTGTCTATTATAATGTAGTATTGATGTGAATTTAGAGTCCCTTCTTGCTTCAAGTATACGAGTATACCCGCTGCCACTGGTAAAATATATAGGCATTTAATTAACAAGATAATTTAAATTGGTTTTCGTTCGATTTGGTAGACCAGCTAGAAATAATTGCAACAATAATTTTAATTTTACACGCTAGTTAATACAGAAATTAATTATTATATTTTAAAAAGGAAGGTTTACGAGAGTTTTTTTAATAAATAACGGAATAACATATTTTTAGAATCATTCTTAAAAAATATAAAAGTAAAATGAAAGAATTCTATATTTTTTAGTTATTTCTTGACTTTTTGTAACTTTATGTTCTTCAAAAACAGGTGTACCTAAAATAAGTTTATACAAAAATGCAATATCGTTTTTAATATAAAATTGAAAATATTTCCAAAACAGTCAAACCGAGGTAAAGTCCGTTATAAAGTAAAAGCACGGATAAAAGGATACATAATAGCCTTGTTTATATATTAATAGGCATGCTAATTGTACAGGGTGAGTCAAATATAGAGTAAAGTCCATTATCTCGTTAGTTTCGAGGTTTACAAAAAAATATTAAATATAAAAGTTATAGGGACGGTTAGGATACACATTTTAAAATTATTATAGAGTATACAAGGTGCTTCAAAAAAGTATGGTGAATATAACATGTTTTTTTTTTAAATGCAACATCCTATTTTTTATTATATTTTTAGATTCTTCTCAAAGATATTTTTTATGTTAAAAAAGGATAATCCAGTTCTGATGTCATTTGTAACGGTATGTAGTATGCAATACAAATCTTACTGTACTGGCTACAAAGGCAAAAAAGTATACTTAACACTTTTTGAACAGCCTTTAATTTTTCTTTAAAATCTGTCCGCCTGTCCAACGGGCCAGGAAAGAATATTGTTAAACGATATTAAAACAACGACAGAAAGCAATTTACTTGCGAATTAAAATGACAGACAACAACTCTCACTGTCAGATATTCTCTATTCTCTCGTTAGACAAACTTTACATAAATAAATTCATAATTTATTTTTCGACGAAGTCTGGATTTTGTCCGGATTTCAGTGCTCACTTTATTAAAAAATAACTTGTATGGAAATCCTACCCTTGTGTGGAAAAAAATTCAAAAGTAGAACACTTTAAAACAGATCCTCGAAAACTTTAAATAAAAGAGGGTTGTGTGAAGAACCCTGTATATCCTTGGGATAATCACCCCCCCCCCACCCCCTAAAAATTTACCTGCTTACACACTTAAAACCAATTTCCCCTTAAAAATTACCATATCACTTTTTCCAGCGTGGTTTGTGCTGTTTCCCTGGCCTGCCCAGCCCTATGGGCTCCCAGCGCAAGGGTAAAATAGCCAAGCCGCTCTTGGGCGGCGTGGGCAACACCGCTGGGCGTCAGTCGCCTTTCGAGAGCGGCACTTCCACTTTCTTTACCCCCTCTACCTCCACACGTCATCATGAGAATGGTGACATGCTGCTTTTGGAGAAACAAGGACGTACATCCCAACAAAATCGTATGGCTGACAATCTACCTGGTCAAGAAGGGGTGAATAACGTGTGTCCTTCGCCTAGTTCATTGCCTAGGCCACCGAGATCGTCGCACAGGTAGGGATGTGTTATAATATCGATATCTTTACAAATATCGATAGTTGTTCCTAAAGCAAGTTTGACCTACAAAAGTTCCTATAAACTTCCATCCAGACCACTGTGGTTGTCGCACAAGATAGGGATGTACCTACATAAATATCGTAATGTTTAAATATCGATATTTAAAAAACCTATAGATGAAGGTAAATCAGCTCTGATCAATAGATTTTCCATTTCCATGTCTAGATAATCGAGATTATGACACATTAAAAAAATCATTAGTTTCCGATAAATTACGCCTGACCAACCAAATCTCCTTTAAATTTGCTTAAACTAGTAATCATTGCACAGGTAGAGATGTGCCTTAGATCGACATTTTTTAATGTCGATAGTTGTTGAAAAATCAACTCTAGTCCATAAAAAATCCCATACATTTGCTGTGACTATTGGGATTATGGCACACGTACGGGATTATAGCATACGTATCGATGAAAAAGAATGTCGATAGTTTTAAAATATCGATTGTTGACGGTAAATTTGCTCAAGTTCAATAATTTTCCTTTGATTTTAATTAATTCTTGATACTTTTTTTAAACAATCGTACCGTTTTAGACATTCTGCTTAATTAAAAAATTAAAACAGGAGTTTGAACAAAAAAACAATAATAATCGTCTGTAAATAAGCTATTACACGCACATTTTTCCACACATTTGTCGAGACATCACAAAAAATACGGCATGTGTAAAGTTATCGATATTTTAAAAATGCATCGATTTTTTTTTGGAAAATGTTGATAGTTGCTATATCAGACCTAACGGACAAGTTTTCAGGTTTTAATTGATTCAGATTCCTGAATCAGAATCAAAATCAACTTAAACATTTATTTTGACAGAAATATTACTCAGTACTTACTAAGTAATTACTAAGAGGAAAGGATTGTATGTACTCAATTTAGAAACGTTTTTTTGCACTGCAGTTTTTCAACGATTTTTGAAACAGTTGTAATACTGAAATTTCAATAAATTATCGATAAAAATTCTACAAATCGATAATGAAATACACTAATTTTTAATAAATATTTAGTTGACACAGTCGAATAAAAATAATTTCTATAGAAAATTCCATTCCAAGATTGAAGAAGCCATCTATGTTTTAGTTAACACAGTTGAATAGAAATAATTCCTATAAAAAAAATCCATTCCAAGATTGAAGAAGCCTACTTGATCAGCTTTTTTGATCGCGCAAACTTACTATACTGACCTGGTCATTCTAAATCAATATTTTAACGTACCTATAAGTAAATTAGTTGCCAGTTCGTAACGTGCTCTAGACATGATTAAATGTTAATATTATGTGACCTATTACAGCTGTAGTTTAATGATTGATTGTTTTAATATATTAAAAGTCCAACACTAGCTATAGAATACTATTTGAAAAGTTTATTGGGGTTTAAATTTTTTTAAGCAAAATCCTGGCGCATAGGAGAAATATTTTAATAAATTATCCTTTAAAATTCACACTTCTGATATAGAACGACTAGACCAGTACTTTATTTCATCTATAAATTATTTTCTAACCACCCTCATTCCTACTAATCCCAGGTCCGGCCTGCCTAGGCGCATGGGCGACTACAACCGCCTAGACAACTCCGCCGACTCCCAGCGGAAAAACTCGAACGGAGCCGACTCCCTCTCCTCCAACGCCAGCTCGAGGCGCACCTCGCCCGCCCGTTCGCTCATCCAGCCGCCTAGGAAACTAGGCGAGTACGGGCGCCTGAGCGAGAGTGGGGGAAGCTCGGCAAGCCTGATGCGCAAGTCCGCGCCTAGGGTGCGCAGCGGCAGTGCTGGGGAACGAGACTCGGCGTCGACTTTGAGCGAAAATTCAGCGAGTTCGCTGCCTGCGCCGTCCAAGATCAAGATGTACGGGGGTTTGAGGAGGGGTAATTCGTTGGGGAGGGAGACCAAGGGCTCTGCTGATTCTAGCAAGTATAGAATTCAGTTTTGAGGCTAATAAGGGATTCAGCGAAATTGATATAGAGATAAAGATATGAGGGGATTTATCGAAATAATTTTGTAACTTTCTGCTTTGCTTGATTTTAAGGACCACGACTCGTCATAATCTTAATTCGTTACAAAAGTATTTCAATAATTCCTCTCATATGTCAAACTGATAGTAATTAGGTTTAAGTGTTAGATTTTGTGTTGATACGACTTGGTGCCTTATAAAAGATCAACAGTGAAACTCTATGTACAGGGTGTCCCATTTTAGTATGTTTTATTGGGTTTCTCAGTTATGAGGTGCAGTTAAAGATGTGCAGCTAAAGATGCTACACACAGATTTGTCTTAGCCTTTTTGGTTCCTGGAATGCAGGGCGAATTTGAAAATGTCGCATTTTTTGACCCCTTCGTATCTCGGTTATCTTATAATTTATCGGAAAGGTGAAAATTGAGTTCCATCGAGTTTTTCACGCCGAATCCATTGGCGTAACTTGTTTTTTTTTCTAAGAGCTGTCGTTTTCAAAATATGAGTCAAATTTATGTTTTTCTTTTAAATGGGACACCCTGTATATTATTATTTTTATTATATTTGCCTTGTTATGAGTTGTCTAAAAATCTAATATACTTATTTTCATTAATAAGGTAAAAAATGCAACTATAAAAAGTAACAAAGTTGCACACTATAGGCAATAAGGACAAATTTATACTGAGTTAAATTGGCTTGAAAATGACCATCACTATACAATTATAGCGATCTTCATTTCCTAGCCAACACTGACACCGTTTTTTTTTTCGATCGAATAAAAGGTACATATGCGTTAAGAGACTTAAAAAGTGACTATCTTATATTATTAGTTGCGTATATACTCTGTGCTATTAGTTACACGATACTGCCAAACCAATGAAATAAAATAAAATGTATTATGTATTGATCCAGTAAAAATCTATCTAAAATCGATACTATATGAATACCAAACATCCCTAGTACTAAGTACTATAAATGAAATATAAAAGAGATTTTTTATATAAGAAAGTTGAGTTTTCAATAAAACTTTATTTTTTCAACTTGTAAACTATACGGGGTGAGTCTTAAATAAGTGCCAATATTTTTAGGGGTAGTATTTTTTCAAAAAATGTTTGAATTTTTTTTTAGTTTTTAATAAAAAAAAACATATTTTCTTGATAATTTGGCAACATAGGTATGAGATTAAATTTACTAGAAAGAAAACGCAGAAAAGATCCAGTGGTGCTCAAAATTTAAGCAAAAAATATTTTTTTTTTAATTTTCAAATAATAACTCTGATATTTTAGACTTTTTTTTAAAAAACGGTAAAGAGAAAATATGTTTCTTTAATTGAAATCTACCAGTCCTGAAAATATTTGTACTGATTATAAATAATAAAATAATACATATGTAATATGTAAGTGGCCTTGCTGTTTTCACTTTGCCAAAACATCTTGTATGTGCCTTTAAATAAAATAAACTGACTAGTGCCTTATATAAAACCAAAAATTGATTTAAATGTAACGTAGAGACTTAGTAGATACCTCCCAATGTGTTGTTATATATTATTATACCAAACCCATATCAAAAAAATCATTTCAATATTGTTTTTTATATAAATCAGATAACTGTAGCGCATATTTGAGTTTTCAGATATTTTTTCTTAAAAACTTGATTAATAATTAATTTTCTACTAGCAGTTATCTTATTTATATAAATTATATACGAAAATTTCCTCGCAACGACCTCTGTGTGCTAGCTCATAAAATATCGCAGATAGCTATTATTTTTGCATCATGTTTACTATAATTTTATTGTTAAATATTATTTTATTTAAATTTTACGATTATGCAACCCGATATACACCGCGATATTATACAGCTACAGCTACACAATATTGTCACTGATGCCGACCAGTCAATGACTAAAGAATCCAAGGACAAATAACACCCGAGAGCAAATTGTGACGATGTCACCAAACAGTGCCGTGGCACATATTTTTCTTAACCTAGCTGTTTGACACTGGCGTGCAGTACCATTTACAGTAGGGTAGGCAACAGAATCAAAAATATGAAAAAAATAAAATAAAAAAACGTATGTATTACATAATATATATGTACAATGTACGTATATAAAATTTACTGTCTAACGTATTTTAACTTTAAACTCAAACAAAAGAAAATTCAAATAACAGCAAATAAATTTAATTATTTGTAGATGCAAAACGAATAATTTGTCTATTATTCAATCATTATTTCTTCCCGATAGGCGACTCAACGACTGGCGAATTAGCTAAAACAATAACCGTACACAATATTGCCAGATTGCCACTGCCTAATAGATTTTATGTACCAAAATTATTTTACAGTCAAATAAAATAATAAATGAAATCATTTGGAAACAAATACAGATGACAGACAAGCAAATTTCTAATTTGCTACATAATACAAATCTTTCTAAAACACAGTTATTTAAAATTGATCATATAAAATAACATGGACTGTTTCTTACATAGTTCTGTAATAACATGGGAACTGGCAATACCGCATCGGCGGGATCGAGACATCGGGTGCATCCGTGCTGCAGTAACGCACTGCTTTTGCTTGTCCATATCCATGTAATGTTAAGTTGCGGCCGTGCGTTCGATTTCGAATAATGGGATGCGTTTTTTAGGTAATAATAAGACGTTGAACAGGTGGCGTTTGTTTTGTATGATGTTTCCGGCTTTGCAACCGTAATAAACACAATACTAACTTACTATTTAGAAAAATAAAACAATGTAGGTCGCATTGTAGGATTTGTATGTAGATATATAATGAAAATTGATCAGATAAATATATTTTTATTTTGCGTCTGTCTTGAATAAATCGAAGGGTAGGCAATGCTTTTTTGCCTATATGTAATACACGCCACTGCTGTTTGAAGCAATATTTATATTTTTTGATAATTGTTTTGACTACGCCTATGGTGTATCATCCGAATTAATTACGAAAAAAACGTATTAAAATGTTAACAAAAGGTACAAAACTAGTATCGACGCATAGCACATATCAAGTACATATAGATGTTAATTGAAATTGAAGAATAATTATCGAATTCAATAAGAAAACGCTAAAAAGTTGGAGTGGACTGTTTATTTACCTATGAAACGTAACTCCTGGCTCTTTCTTATCGCTGCTGCTTTTACACTTGAAAGCTGAACAACTAATCACCATTGTAATAAAGTTTATACAAAATTTACTACACACAAACTATTAAAAATCGCTAAAATTGTCGCTGGTGACCAAATGATGACTCATTGTTTGCCACCAAAACAAAAAAAAAGGTCACAAATTCTGCTGCAGCCCGTATAAGGGCGTTACATGTCCTTATATTCTTTAGTCATTTGCTGTCCTCCTTTCACGCAGTTGAGCAGCTCTGAAGTGTTCAAGAACGCAATACTCTCACTCCATTCAATTGAGTCATAAAGCTCCAGAACTGTTCCGCGCCATATGGAGGCACCAGGCTATCCCGCACCGCTCCTTTCAGAACCGTTCTCGAGTAGCCCCAGGGCGTAAAACCCGGAACTCGAAGTTCGCGAATGGAGGACAGCAATTGCGACCACGTAGGCTTTTTGTCGAGCTCTCTATATCTTTGATCATCACCTCTCCGTCACTTGTCACTGTCAGATCAAATCAGATGTTTTTGGATTTATTTATCCTTTGTTTTGGTTATTGAAATTTTATAATTATCAGATAAAATTTCGTAGTTAAATTGTTTATTTTTGATGTGGATCGCAGTGTACAATTCGTTCATTTAATTGTGGAAATTTGTGAGTTAAGTTCGTTCATTGACCGGATATGGAATATGGCTGTTGGGAAAATATTCTAGAACATCGTTTTTTTATTTATGCCTTTTTGTGAGTTGGACTAGTCGAGATATATAGTTCTCTATCTATATCCTGGAGGGAGATTTCCGGTTGAAATCTGATTTTGTGAAGGAAATCGAATCCTTGCATCACTTCTGTGCATCACTTCCTGTTCTTGTGTACTCCCCGACTGAAGAGTATCGTCGTGAAGAACTGGCTGCCGTTTCGTGAAGCATTCTCTGTTGGTAGTTAACAGGTCTTCCTAGAGAAGGATTAAGGCTTCCGAAGCACATTTGGTCAGAGACGTGGTTGGATTTTGTTGATTTGTATGGACCGCCAACCAATTTCCGCAATGGGATTAAAATAGCCAAATTTTCCGACCGATATTCCGATTCCACGTGCCCAAGAAGTCCCCGAGAGTTCTAAGGTATGCTATAATTCTTCTGCCTATTCTAAGTCAATGCTCAACTGATTTTTGTTCATATTGTTGTCTGGTTTTCGACTTTTCCACGCCCACGTGGTGTAGAAAGATTAGTTGAGTGTTATCTTTCTTAAATCTTATTTGGTTGTTCGTAATTGTAGAGCAAGAAGACCGATCCAGACCGTAAAGCACAGAACAGTCCAGAATTCCATCCGTTCCTCACGTTCCTGTAGTCCGTGTAGAGGTACCCGTACATTCGTTGGACAACTAGGATGGAAGATTTTCCAGAAGTTTGGAATACAGTTGGATTTTTTCCATTTCGTATACCATTTGATATAGGTAGTTACAATATATGGATTTAATTTTTGCAATATTTATATTTTATAGAATATTTAAAGCTAAGAATCGATTGTGCCTTTATACAACGAACGAATTTGAATAAATATATGTAATTTGGCATATATGTTTCTTTATTTATTGTTACCACCATCAAAACACAGCCAGAATTATTAAAATTGATACTTTACATAATATACTACTAAAAAATATCACACTTTTACCACTCTGAACTATTTGAAATTTTTCTGTCCCTCTGAGTGCAAGATAAAAATTATATATGAAATGAACAAATTTACGACATCGTCTGTTGATATTGAAAAAGTTTTGCTTGCCGTATCGGTGAGAACCAGCCCCTGGACAGCCCACCTGATGAAGGGTAGGCCCAGAAACCGGTTGTGGGAATGGAGCTTGGTTCCCCCCTTTACGGCAAGCAAAACAATTTTCTTTTTACTTTTTATTTTTTTTTCTCTACTTTCGATTTTTCGAAATTAGAAAAAATACACAGCTAAAGGCAAGAAAATAATATTTATTAATATACACTAAAGCTGTAAGAATTTTGTTCATTTCATATATATTTGAGCGGGCCGAAAAACGCTCTTTACCATCTTTTACGGGAGATGCACTAATATCTCCCGACACTTTATGACATCGTCTCTTGATATTGAAAAAGTTTTGCTTGCCGTATCGGTGCGAACCAGCCCCTGGACAGCCCACCTGATGAAGGGTAGGCCCAGAAACCGGTTGTGGGAGTTGAGCTTGGTTCCCCCCTTTACGACAAGCAAAACACTTTTCTTTTTACTATTAGATAAAAATTATTCGGTCCCGTTTTTATTTCACAAGAATACGCATTGTAGCGCCTCCCCTCCTTATTCCTCCATGATCTATATATAGAGGTTAGCCTACCAAAAAATATCATCGATCGACATTTCAAAGTCTGCACTGACAACGCATTTTTTTCAATCGTACGGTATAAGACTGAATTAAAGAAATTTCTGTTGTTTTTAAGATTAACAGTAAACTGAGAAGCTGCTTTCCAAGCAATTTGCCTTAACGCCTTAATAGTTACTTTACTAGTACTACGTTCTCCACTGAGGTGGTCGATCGTACCAACGAAGAGACTCGACCGGCCGGTCTTGGTGAAAGTATGCCAAGGTGGTACTCATTGGTTGTACCACCGCTACACCATATCGCGAAGATAGTTTTCACTCTGCAGTATTTCATTTTTTTTTCTACTCTTTCTACGTGATGTGATTCTCGTCTGCTATGTAGCTACAGGGTGTCCCAATTTTATTTTATCTTCCTTTAGTACAAGAGGATTCCCTGAAATAAATCATTCTTCTCTTTGGACTGGGTAGAATACAAGACAAATAATACAGAGTGGTCCAAAAAGCATGTGCCATCTTTCATAGAGAGATTACTCACGTAAAAATAAGATTTATTTTTCATATCAACATAGGTCCGGTTCTGCTTTGTTTAGTAGCTACAGGGGGTTAAAATTTTCATTTTATACCGATTTACTATAATTTTCTTCCAAGTGCTTTTAGCGATTCGAATGAAATTTTAAGGGTAAAAGTTACTATATTAATGCCAAAAAAGTCTCTATCATCTCATTTACCAGGGATGTGCATATATGTTATCACTAGAATATTCTTCTAAAAAAACATCAAAATATCAAGCTATCACGCGCCGGTAGTTCTAGGACTGTACAATCTGAAATGAAGATCTAAACTTTGTCAAGACACACACGCTACATTTACGTCGAACGATGCAATCTTCACTTTTGGTACTGTCAGTTTTTGAACTGAAGGAAAACTGTGCTTTCACCACACACAAAAAATATCGTCAGTTTTAATCGAATCATCTTGAAATCAAAAATTTTTTAAATACAAAAAATACACTTCTCGTGCTTTTGTTATTGCAAGAGCCAATTACAAAGACAAAAAAGCGTTTGTGGGTGAAAAATTGCTTGTTACAACGTGTTATATTATCTCATATTATGGAGTGCGAAAATTAAGAACTGTGCAACAGATGACCTTAAAAACTACCTTAGAATGAATGGCACATGTTTTAATAAATTTTTAAAGATGGTTAAGCCCTTAATACCAAAGAAAAATACAAAAAAAGGTTCACCTGAACGCTTTGATTTTCGCGCTTTTTGAGTTCCTTTCGGAAAGCACTTTGCAAATTCCAACAATTTTTCATAAGTTTTAATTTTTTCCAGTCTGTTTGAATAAACTTTACTTTTAATTTTCCACAGACAGGGTAATTGCATATACAAATCAATAAAATCGGTTAAAAAAGTCGTATTAGTACGTAAATCCTCATCTTGATAGTCAAAACTTCCAACTTGTCAAAAGATGGGAACGTACGATTAGAACTCTCGATTTTTCGCCATACATTTCAGTCGGCCGTGCGATCTGCAGATTCAGACCTGTCGACACCGTCGACGGTTTGTATGTGTATGGGCACCTTTAATTGGCACTTAAACGGCCTACACAATTTTGCCTGTGATTTTGCTAACAAAAGAAAAAAAAGTCAGTGGCGCACATGTTTTTTTTAGAAAAATATTCCAGTGATATCACATGTATGTCCCTGGTGAATAATATAGACACTTTTTAGCATTAAAATATGTCGCGCTTATAGTAACTTTTACCCTCAAAATTTCATTCGGATCGCTAAAAAAAGCACTTGGAAGAAAATTATAATAAATCAAAAAATTTAGATTTTAACCTAACCTAGCTACGAAACAAAGTAGAATCATCGGACTTATGTTGATATAAAAAATAAATTTTATTTTTACGTGAGGAATCTCCCCACACATGTTTTTTTAAACAGAGAAGCATTACTGTACCAAAGCAAAGCATTACTGTACCAAAGCGCTGTTGCGACCTCAGCTCTCGGACTAATAGACTAATATGCCCCGCCCCCATTCGAGAACCAGTAGAAAACACCAGAAAGACAGAGATGTAAACATTTTATTCAAAAAATGTGTTTATTTTTTAATATTATCATTTAAAAAAAACCTACACCCCCTGGGTTCAACCCAGGATAAATTGCTATATATGTAGTTACGCTAATGCGTGCTAATGCCTATACCTTTTTAATTTTTTCAGATAAAAAACGAGATTTGGTACGCTAGTACTTATATGACATAATTCAGGATTTATTGACGTATTCAATTAGTTTCATTCTCTTCTCACTTCCTGTTTCACCGGAAATGGGTACAACTTTTGATTTTTAAATGGTAAACTCGGTATTTTTTTACTTTATTTGATAGAATATTTCATTTTGCATAGAATGACATATCATATGTCACTTTTGACACTTGCGCTTTTAAAAAATACCTAGTATTTTAAATTTCAATCTAGAGTACCATGGAACAGTCAATAACATTTTCTTTATTTTTTTAGATAATTAAGTTATGACAAAAAATCATAAGGTTGCAAAAAAAAAGAAAATATTTCTTGTAACAATAAAGTAATCCATTAAAATATTCTTTATATTTCCTATTAATATCTGAAAAAAATAACCCTCTAAATAACGACAAACCCTTACCAAGGAAAAAAATATTAACTCCGAAAAAAGTTTGAAACAAATAAAATCCCCTTCGTTTATCCATTGTTGCCAAATGATGCGACCATAATTCATGCAATTTGTCGATCATTTCTCTAATGGCATAGAATTAATATTGATGACGACGTATGAAGATTATGAAATCTTTTTTAAACCGTGAAAAGAGTGAAAGTAAAAAGTGAGAATACGTCCGTTCTAAATGATTAATTTGTGTGGAAAGGTTGATAAAAGAAGAACATACAGTGTGCGTAATAACCGCAAAATAAAATTAACATAAAGAAATTATCATATAATGAAGAAATTAATGAAGTTGTTGATAAAAATGTATTTCCTTGTGTTTCAGAGAATGAAATTGTTTCAAGATTTATCTCAGACAAATAAATAATACAAAGAGGCAAATCTTTCTGTTACACAAGGAAGGTACTTAAGATATACAAACCAGCTGTAAACAGAAAGATGCTAGGTTGCCACTTATTTATTATTTAGATTATCTAAATTTTTGTTTATTGATATACAGAGCGAGTCTTAACTAACTGCAAATTTTCAGGGCTCATAAAAAAAATATTTTTAAATAAGCCCAAAATAGTTGAGGAAGGTACAGTCCGTTTGCTAGATCTGTGTCTATGAAAGGAATGCGGACAAAAAACATTTAAATAAATAGCAATATATTTTATACGTCGACTTGACGATTACGTCACCGCAAATCGCTCCGCCCTCTCATTTTATTGGCTATTTGCAAATTTGTCGAATTTTTATTGATGGGACGCGTCGTCTAATTTTTTACAAAAAACATCGAGAGAATATCGTTTCCCCTCTCACGGATACCCCGTTGCTACAGAACGGACAGACGTACTGTATTTTACTTAAAATAATAATAAACCACTGGATATTTTCTGTTTTTTTTTGTTCTTCAAAATTTAAGTCTGTCAAACAAGTGAGGGAGGATTTCCACGACATTTGAAAAATGAGGGAAAATTCAATTTGCCTGTGAATTAAAATGACAGACATAACTGCCACTGTGTAACCTAACCTAACCTAACCGACGTTGCCATGTTAGCAAGATATTATATTTTTTAACGCAGCTTACGGATGGAGTTTTCCAGGTTCTTGGGTTTTGCTTCAAGTTGGTTTCCATTTGGAAAGCAGAACGGTTCTGGTTCGGTTAGTGGAGTGTTCGCTCCTTTTCTAGGTAGATCGTTTGCTTTTTCATTACTTTTATCTTCTATCCCGTGGTGGGCTGGCACCCAGAATAGGAGGACTTTATTTCCTTTGCCTAGTTTGTTCAGCTTCTCTAAGCACTTTTTGACCAACTTTGAATTGATGGTTACTGAGTTGATCTATTTTAATGCTCCTTGGCTAGAGGATAAGATGGTTATTTCTTGTTTCCGATGGTTTCTATCGATTTTTCGCCATACATTTCAGTCGGCCGTGAGACTCAAGCGATAAGTTGTACGTATCTTTCCATAGCGTATGAATGCGTCATATTTCCACAGCGTGAAGGATGCTGATGCTCACTTGCACCGTTTGTATAAACTTAGTTTAAAGGTTAAACAGTGATTAACTATGATATTTTATTACAGTTAATCACTGTTTAGCCTTTGAACAAAGTTTATACAAACGGTGCAAGTGGGCATGAATGCTGGGGTAAGTGCCCTTTGGTTCGAAGTGTTTAGTTTTCGGCCTAAATACCCCTATTCCTGTTTTGGTTTTGGAATCATTGTGATACCACATTAGGACGTTAGGTATGGTATTTTACCCGCTGAGTAGACGTTTCTCTCTTCCATTTCTTCTTAATGCTCAATAAATACTACAGTAAGGTTTTTCTCAAAGTTGTACATTGGAGGAGTGGAATTTTCCATATGAGGGTGTTCCAAGAGTTGATAATTCTCCCAGAACTGTTTCCGTCAATGACCGTTGAAAATACTTTAGTAACTTTTATCTGCGCCATTCCGTATATAACCCATTCTGCAGTAATTGTAACTGCAACATGGAGAAAGTTATCATTTTTAATGTATTTTTAGACAATTTCGGTACACGTTTTTTCTTTCTCTTAAAACCTACCTGCTTTCTCGACGAGCCGGCAACCTAGCCCCCTAAAATCATCGGCTTCATCCGACCAGTCGTCCCTTCCACCGTCATGCGGCTCAAGTGTTTCCCTCCGCACACCCCCTTGTCCAGAAACGCTTGCCCCTCATTCCATTCGAGTCAGAGATTCAGGCCAGGTCGTAGTCAGCGTGTTTTCTCTCGCTATATTTAACCGCGCCTTCAAAAATACTCACTTTTCCCATTCAGGACTTTTTAAAGTTAGTTTTCGTACTCAAAAATGTTGTGAAACAATCACAAAACTGTGAATTAAACTGCTCAAGTGACAGAGTAAAAGAGGATATAGTGTGCCACGTCGTGAGTTTCAGTTGTTTTAGTGACGCGTGTGTGACTTGACTCGCTCGTGAACACATTTGTGGATTACCTACCTACCATTTTGGATACTATTATTATTACACAATTCCTTCTACATTCTAGGATACCAATACCTTTTGGCAGGTAAGCGAAGGCATCAAAAAGCCCGAGGTTTCTTTTGTTTCGTAACAATGGAGCGGTTTGTGAGGTGCCTGGGATGATGTGAACCACGCTTGATGTTTGACAATTATTTGAATTAAGTCAATTTTAAACGTGATGTTTGTTTCTTAAGCTTCATTCAGAAACTCAGAATTAGTGGTTTCAATTATAAGTACTTTATTACTTACGAGTTTTTATCATTCATGTCTAAAAGTACAAATTAAAATTAATAGTATATTCTTGCTACTACAGCTTATGGTTGCATTCATAGAGCCTAATAATTAACTAATCAAACAATAAACTTGTTTTTAATCACAATTTCTCTTGACAGATGATAATCAAAGGCAAAAATGACATTGCTCGCTAATTTTGAGGTATAATTAGTGAAAAAAAGTTAAAAGTTTGTTAACTTTTTCTACTAAGTAATTGAAAACTTCTACCACTAATTTTGACCTTTTGAATGCTTACATTGAAATTAGAGCAACAAACTTCCACGCTAATTATTGAAACCATTAATTTATTCCACTAATTTCGACTACTTAAATTAGATTCAGGTAGTTCACTATTAAAACCAATAGATTTTTCGTAAAAAAGTACAGTAACCTCTGATTAATTATTTGAATCGTGTAGAATGTTATCGAGGTGGCTGAAAGATGTAAACCAGGCTTTATATTTGACAATTAAGAACAAAACAGTTTTAGAAACACGTTGTCTATTTCTAGGCCTACTAAAACTGGTAAAGTAGTGTACCTAATCAATCATTTAAATCGGTTTGCTTGATAAATATGTACCTAGTGTTTTCATTGATAAAATTGACGTTTCTGGGAATCATGATGTAATTGAAACTTTAAAGTGATTTTTTACGGAATTTTAGTTAAAGGTAATCTCTTAAAAATTTATTAATTTTTTGTTTAATTATCAACGTTATGATTGATAAAAAGGGCCTACATGCGTAAATATTTAGCCATAGAGTTGACGAAGTTATAGAACGTAAGAAAGATCTATTTTACCATCATACCGAATGTTGTTGAATCTGTGACAAATATTTCTGTTTATTAAGTAAATTTAAACAATTATTAACCTTTAAATATTTATAAATAGTCAGTTTTAGTGCCGTGAGATTTGAATAATCTAATTCGAAGTTAAACAGTTACATTTCGAAATGATAATCAGGACTTTTAAATTTTCGCGAAACTGTTGTTAAACTGGTATGTATGAAGCCTGTTATATATTTATAGATAAGTAATTTCTGCTGAATTATTCATTGGAAACAACGAGAAAAGGTATAAAATATTAATAACATCATTCTGTGTTATTTTTGTTGGCATCGGTAAACTCATGAGTCATATTCAACAAGTAATTACATATTATTTTTTCTAGTTTGTGGTTTTTAGTGAAATAAAGTTACAAGAAAATGAAGAATGTGTTCATCATAAAACATTGTTCTTAAAAACCCTAATATTTGAAAAAGAGTGTTTAAAAGATAGATATTATGTCTCCATACGAAAAGCATAGAACTTAGGACCGAGAAAAATTTTCCTTGAATCTTCGTATTGTCACATTGTCACGGTGTTTTTAAAGGTGCGTCCAGACCTAACGAGACGAGAGTGAGACATCTTCTATCCATTTTTTTTGAGGCAAGCCCACCACGAGACAAGCGAGTTGAATCATAGTGAAAGGAACCCAAACACATATTAAATTGTAATTGAATATAACGATGGCCAAATAAACACGTTCAGACTGTACCGCGAGCTTTCTTTGATCGGTCGTCGCAAAACCGACAGAAAACGGATACCAATGAGGCTCTGTGGGTTGTCTCGCGAGACTCATCCACACTTTTAGTAAATTTAGAATGTCTCGCGCTCGTCGTCTAGTCCGGTCTGGACACCCCTTTAAAAAAATCCTGCTAAGAAACCTTAAATAAAGATCTCTGTTTGATTGAAAAAATGTCATTTTATTTATACTTCTATTAAATTTAAATACCATTAGCTATGATTATCTAAAAATTAAAAACACTAAAATTATTATCTTAAAGGTATGGGTGGAGGTTATAAACCGAGTTATAAACTTATATAACTTAGGAAACATCAATTAAATGTTATGCAGTTGTCGTAAAGCACTGGAAAGTTATTCGTGCTTGTAAAAATGGGGAAAATAACATATTTACTGCAAATTTACGAGCGCAGAGTGTAATTTTCAGTAAATTATTCATGAGTTTTTCGCATTTACTTAATCGTTCCGTTAGTATACCACAAATATCAAAGAAAATAATTGAAATTATTAGAATTTAATTTACTAAAATAGAAATACAGATGAATATACATTGTTTTAAATTATTTAGCAAAAATATCTTTATCGTTTAATAAAATACTGTAATCACTATATTATGACATTCATATAGGTACGATCTTCGCTAATTAACTTTTTTAATAAATACGTGGTAACCTAGAGCATATTTAAATTTTTTTGTTTGGTTTGGTTTGGTTTGGATGTTGTTTTTATACACTAACTTTAGTCTATATCTATACGGTCCTGGACACTTTATTTTATTTCCGTGGTCTGCTTTTAATGCATGCGACAGAGATAAATATGTATAAATGACCGGTTGACAGACAGAGAGACTAAATGAAAATCGCTATACAGTGTTGCCGGTTTTTACGCGTGTAGGCAGGAATATGTGTGGATAGGTAATAAACTTCGCAATTTTCTCTCTCCGACTTACAAGATCGCCATATCGATTCATTTCTGGACATGTAGGTAAAGGCCGACCCAAGACCCTTCTCTTGTAGATTCGGTGTAAGTATATTATTATCTTAGCCTTTTAAATAAATTAGAGAAAAGAAACTTTCATGTGAAACTTTCATACTGAAATGAAGATAATATATTAAGCCTACTTGTGCGGTTTGATATTATGATGCAAAAATACCAATGCCGCATAGAAGAAATGTACCAGCCAATCTACATATTCAACCAAAAAAAAATATTTTTTCTTCACAAAATCCAGTCTCTGGTAAGAGGTAACAGGTAGAATCTGTCATAGACCTGCTGTGATATATGTCGAAGGGAAACATAATATAACGACCCACATGTCACTGACGTCACCGTAACAACTGAACGTCGACGACCTTACATTCCCCACCCCCTCTTTTCTACGCCTTTTGGGCTATTCACCCTCCCAAAATTTTTCTATTCTTTGTGCCTTTATTCGACTTCGAGATATATCGAATTTCTGAAAGACTGAGTAGTAATAAAATTAAATTTTAGTCTTTTATTCGACGTAGATTGATGTTAATATTGCGTTTAATTCTCACAGAAACAAGTTAATCTAGATGAGTTCTAAAACTGGAGTAATACTAATTTATGTTCCATACCCGGTTCAGTGTGAGTTCAGATTTAAGCCCAGTTTAAAATTTTAATAGGTTGTTATGATTTCTTATTGTTGAACTTTTGTTCAGCAATTCGAAATCATTTTTGTTGTGTTTGTTGAAATTGTTTTTCAGAGTTCACTTGGATTCCATTTTAAGCTATGTTTGTCTGGGCCTAAGAGTTGCGAATGTTACTTAAAATCATAGAACACATCTATGTACACTTATTTCTTTGAAGCTATTTCCTTTTTTTAGACTAAAGGCGATATAGGAATTACTAAAATGAGTAATAAATCTATTTTAACCATTTATTCGACGTAAATTGGTGTAGAAATAGCTTAATTGTTTTTAAATGAACAATTGAAATACTGTTACTTGTGCTTTATCTTTTGTTCATTCTTATTTTACATATCATCCTGTTTATTTTAATCAGATTATTGCGAGTACTCTATAAATATGAAATTTTCGTCACTTATTTATACCTTTCTATGGTATTCTTGAGATCTTAGATTAGATTTAGGACGTTAGACTATGACAAAGTGTCTAGAGGGGCATCACTAATTTCATTAAAGCAATGACTAAAGAAAAGCACCAATAACACGCGAGACCATATTATTACCATACCTCAAAACAGTACCGTGCCACATATTTTTCTTATCTTAGCTACTTGAAGAGATATTTGTATTTTTGATAAATGTTTTGACTATGTCTATGGTGTATGCGGTGGTATCATACTAATTAATTACAAAAAAAACGTATTAAAATATTAACAAAAGGTAGATAATGCTATTCGACGTATACCACATATCAAATACATGTAATATTAGAAAAATAATTATCAAATTCAATAGGAAAGCATTAAAAAGGTGGTTTGGTAGCTCTTTCTTATCGTTGCAGCTTTTACACTTGAAAGCTGAACAAATCACCATTGTTATAAAGTTTATACAAAGTTCACTACACACAACAAACTATTAAAAATCGCTGAAATTGTCGCTGGTGACATATCCGTTCCTCCAAAAAAAAATGGCGTATAACAACACAATTTCTGCTTCAGTCCGTATATCGGTCTTGTATTCTTTACTCATTGCATTAAAGTCTATTTAGGTCTCACATTTTCCTACAAACGTAAAAACCGGCAACACTGTATGCCGCTTTTTATTTTGTCTCTCTGTCTGTTAACCGGTCGTTTATATTTATCTCTGTCGCATACATATAAAATACAGACCAAATCACGCAAATGAAGTGGCCAGACCGAAATCGACAATTTTGTATTTACATTTTTATAAATTTTTGTTAGTTTTTAAGTTCTTTTCTTGTATCTGACAATGTTCCATGCCCTAGGGTTATTGTACTATACGATCGAAAAAAAGGCGTCAAAGACGGTTGAGGAATGACGATCGATGATAATTTTAGGGATGTCAAGCCCTCGACGTCATTTACTTAGCCTGTATCTTCTTTATAGAGCTGTATAGTTCGTGAACTAAGTAGTTCCAATGTGAATTATTCCGACCCCGGAATGAAAGGAACTAGTTCCCGGTTTCTTAAAGAACTAGTTCCTAGAGGAACTAAATAAAAAACTAGTTTACGTACTGATCGGCCAGCGCGATCGTAGCCCGATGC